TGGAGGGTTCAGCCACCAGGATATAAAAAGAGTTGGGTCCATTTCAACGCAAAACCCTCTATTTTGACCTGTCCATTATAGGCTGGCCATAAAAAGCAACACGGACTGGGCACAACAGCAAATTCGGCCCCCCGCCTGTGTTCCCTCAGAGGAGACACAGCGGCGGAGGGAAAAGTGGCCGCACAATGTCATGGGGGTAACATGAGCCATACCACCACCTAGGTAATAAAGGCAGGGTTGGGCTTTTCAAGCAAACACTTCTCGTCGTTGTGTCCCCCGGGGCAAACTGAGTGCCCATGAAGGGATAGTACAGAGAGCCGCGATGAATGTCCCACTGACCCGGTAGACGTGTTCTGCCCACGGCCTGGACCGGGTCGGCGGGGACTCCGCTTGTGCGCAGATGCCAGAGCCAGTAGAACAGCACTTGTCCTTTTTAAGTGACATACGGTGCTTCATCGTCCAAGCGCTTCTTCCAGGGGTTCCAAATGCGAGGCTACGAAGTTGAGCCCATCCTAAAACCCCTGCCGAAGGCTCCCCCAATAAGGGCACCCACAGTAGACCTGGTGAAACAGGGGAGGAGCCGCCTGCCGAGCCCCTTTCAGGTAAAACGGCGCAGAGCCAGCAGGATGACTGGCCCTAGCCGTCTCTTCCCTCAAAAGCCACACATGGCAAAGTGCAGCCAAATAGCAGCCAGTACCACTTATCTGATCGTAGAGAAAGCTCGTTGGTGGTTTATTCAACCCTCTACAACCGGTCCTATGTCACCGCACAATGATAAAATCACCGCCGACAGGACATTGAATAAGACGATGGGTGTCCTGTTCTTGAAGGCCATCCACTCTCAAACACCCTCCACTTCTACAGTCATAAGAGAGACCGTGGTGGAGGTGAACGCTTCTTGCACTCTGAGATAGTTGTGTTACTCACCGATCTGTGTCGTGTCCTGAGCGCGGAGCCCCCACTGTAAGTGTCAGACTTCTGGCTAGCAACAGCTGCACGGCCGCCCCCGGCCGCACCGGAGAAGCGGGCCGCGCGTACGAAAAAATGGACAGCCGGCAACCGACCGCCGAGAGACGACAAACGCCGCCGGTGCAATAAAAAGACAGCGAGCAATCTACTGGCCTGGCGAGATATCGCGTAATGGCGGCAGCGCCGTAGCAGTCTCCCACTACGCAGGACATAGCTGACTCCTCAAGGCGGGGGAGCGATCTTTCCACCCATCACCCAGCACGCTTGGCACTGATGGCCTGGCCCGTGAGTGGTACAAAAAAATTCTTGACAATACCAAATGCGGGAGAGGCTCCCATACAGAAAATGACTTACAACACTATTCGAGTGAGCAAAACGAGCCTATCACTCCCACCAGCGTCTTCTCCTATGACTTAAGCTGGCGGTCTTGAACGGCGCTGTGCCTTCAACCACCCGGCCCACTCTCTTCTCACACTGTCCCTCCGCTTGGACTTCTTATCAATATTCAAAACAACAGACCTATATAATAAAACACAGAGCTTTCTCTACGATCAACCAGTGATACCTTCAGCGATACTTCCGCTTGCACTGCCCCATCCGGACCACGCTTTCTGAGCGAGCAGCGAAGCACGCTAGCCAGCCATCCTCAATGGTCGCCGTTATATTATGAAGGGGCTCGCAGAGAGCTCCTTCCCTGTCAGTATCCACGGTCACTGTGCCCTTATGGGATCATGGCACTGTCGGTATTTATGATGGCCACTCGACCTCCATTTGAACCTGAACGAAGCTGCACATGAAGCACACTTCCCGATAAAAAGCAAACAAACGATGCACAGGATACTAAGGGCTCTGACATCCTAACCCACCGCCGAGAGATCCGCGACATTCCATCGCCTCGCTTACCACCCCAATCCCTATCCATACCGCCTGCCTTTGCCACCCGAAACCAGAGTGCTATGCTCACGGACAGACCACCCAACCTCCAGCTATCAAATAACACCACCTCACAACTAATTGAACACTCAATGATATTAACAAACCCATATCCATCGACATCATAAGGCGCCCATATTCAATCCGGCACGTTTCACATACGACAGGACAGACAGGACAAACACCGCATATCTGCTAGACACCACACAGAGCAAATACCACCCACACACATTATATGCGCAACCAGGACAAACAGATAATAGATAACACGCTTGATACCTGGCACGACCCAACACCCCCCCCCACAAACACAAACAACCCAAAACAAAAACCCCCGGGCCAAAAACACCCTAAACCCCATCAGAAGGGGCACAACAACACAGCCTAGATTCACCAAAGCAACGCATCAAACACACTAGCAGATATAGAGTGACCAACGATCATCGCCCTAGGCGCACTTCCCACTCCACACCCCGCACGACGCCGCCACACGGCTTTGACCCGCCACCACACCCGCGCTCGCGTGCCCTTCCCTACTCCACTGGACCTCGCTCACCACACCTAGGATCGCACCTACTATCAAGGAGGAGTGACCATCTCCAACCGACCCTCTCTGTGGCCACAGCAGCCGAGCGAGCCCGCTCTCACGCTCATTTTCAGCGCTCGACTTCTACGGCACCCCCTGCAGATCCACCCACTGCTCCCCCCACACGCTGTCGACAGCCGCGGCCTCGAGACACGGTCTCCTACCTTACAAGGACTCTCCACTCACCAAATCTTCTGAACATCGAACCTCACCCACGAGATACCAACCACACCAGCATCCACACTAGCAACTCACGCCATCTCCATCAATATCCCATCAGTAAGAGCGACACTCAGAACGGAGTGTTATGAATGGAGACATAGTAGGATCTGCACGTCAGCACCCGTGGCATATCGGCTTACGCGCACGTAAACCCCAGTCTCGAGAAGCAATGAAGTGGAGATGTCTCACCAGACGGCCCTTCTTGCTAAGGCCGAAGCAGAGGAGGGGCTTATGTTTGATGACGCGCTGCGCGTATGCGCAAGCTACTTATAGGTGGTTGGATTCCGCTGACCGTAGACCGTCAAGAATCACACAGCCAATCAGGACTTGGCGTAATGAGGATTGAATGCTTCCATTGCATACGCGTTGAGGAGCATCCCATAGTGAGACATCTCACTTCATGTTACTCTGAGAACTGGGGTTACGTAAGTAACCTATAGATATTATTGCTTTGACCGGCTGACTCGTACTAACCATGGCTAAGTTGTCTACTAACAAGAAGGTCCCAGGCTCCTCCAACAGTGCAACACAATAAAACAGATAGAATAGTGCAAGTAAATACAAATAAAATAGAATAGAAGTAGTGCAATAAGAGTCTATATACAAGTGATAAATAATGTTTAAGTTGCAAACAGGTGAATGTACTCGGTCCTGCAGTAATTGCATAGATATGACAGATTCTTAAAATCACCACAACAATTTTAGTGAAAAATAATGTATTGATATTTTTATTTTACACATTTTAAATACGTCTTGATAACTTTTAAATCATGGCTTTCAATGTATCCGTTAATTATCAGATCGCAGCCAGTGAGCCCGACAATACACTGTTTCATTTATTTAAAATATGCTTAATATATTCTGGTTTATCAATGTGAAGCGCTGCAGAGAGAGTTGTTCATTCACTGAGACTGTATCGTAACAGATTGCAGGGACCTGTCTAAAGGTTTAGGGCGAACTAATATGTTGCTGTTTAGCTGAAGTAGTTTGGTGTGTCAAATATTAGGGCTTTAATCTGGTCATTGCATTTAGTTTGCATTTAAACAAAATACAACCATACAGTACATGACTTACACATTCAATCACTTTTCTCTACCATTGGAGAAAAGCCTGTCATCAAGGCCTTTCACTGCATGCAAAGACCTGGACTGCCAACCATTATTCTCACTTATTTTCTGATTCGGTTATGTTTTCTTTTGGCTGTGCTTCTGCCAGAAATAGTTGACAGATTTCTGGTGCTTGTTTCAGATACAAACCTGTGATTTGTATTTTTATCCCAGCATATGTTGATATACTTATTTGTAAAAGTGCTGGGAATATACTTAACAATCTTATATTACGTTCATTGTCCTTAAAATGCATGTGCTGACTAACTGTTCTGTATTTTTAGGAGAGCCCTTCACTCCTAGCGATACACATATTTAACAAAATACTCATTTCAGTTAAACAAGTTAGAAAATGAGTACGCTCACATTATTGTTGGAGCGGACACTTTATCTGTTCGCTCCTGATAATCAAAAGATCATTTTGAAGCTAAAACTGCCTTTTAAGTGCATAAGGCAGCAGGGTGCAGGTGATAGATAAAGATATTCAGATAAATCTGTTTATCATTGCTCCCTGATTGTGACGTTTTAAACTCTACACACGTACAATTCGTTGAATGTGTATACTGGCCGTGTAATTGCTCAATTCCTGCTTTCCACCTGAGATTCCCAGAGGCTGGTTTACAATCTGAGCCCGGTGGAAGCATCATTCTGTGTTGTGTTTCTCTGCCCCAGTCGCAGGGGACCAACAGTAAAAACAGTGTAGTAAGCAGCAGCAGCACCAAAGACAGCAGCATGTCATCTACAGCACCAATGGTACCTCATCTCTATTTGGTTTCTCTCGCGTTGCTTTCTTTTTTAACCGCATCATGTCATTGTGTTCACCTTTTTTCAATGTTAAGTTCTGTCTCTTCATCTTCTCGTGTCACACTCCATGTTAAGTGAATTATGTTCTCGTCCTTCATCTCCTGCCTCTTTGCTTCTGTCGTAAACACAAACTGTGATGGTGGATTTGATGACTTTAAAATTGAACAACTGCTTTGTGCCTTTGGGTGTCCCTCCTGGCTTGTGTTTTACCCAGACCTCCTGTGTATATAGGTATACATTTACTCTGTGAGCTGCGCTGACAGGTAGACAAATGACTTTCATTTTGCAGTGCAACAGCAGACACTTAAAGCTGGCTCTGTTCAGCCACTTCCTGGTGACATCAGGTTGATTGTTTGCCTTTCAGGAACGACAGGTTTATGGCAATTTCTTGGAAAGCACAGCTGACTAAAGGTTGAACCTTTATCCACCATTACAAATTGATCTTTTACAAATTGCTTTTTGATATGTGAATTGTAAACAAGGAGGACTTCTGGGTAAAGCAGGAGCTGGAGTCACTGAGGGATTGTTATTTTATCAGGAAGCAGCCCCTGTGTTTATATATGTGATGGAATTATGTCATTTATATAACAAACTTGAAGTTACTGTGGGTCCGTCCAGAGGTGTGACAGAATAGTGTACACAGCTGAGAGTATGTGAATAAATAACTAAAGAAATATTTTATTTTGAAGGTAGAACGATTAATCTAATAATATAAAATTCAGTCTGGAATTAACTGCTACATCTGTAAAATTGTAAGATGGCCGTTGTTCATGGTAGGAAATCACCCTATTTACACATATGGACAGTTAGATCAGGAACAAACCAATGCAGAAAAGGATAAATGTACCCATTATTTTCTATATTATGGCTTTGCTGAATTCTGCTCACCAGTAAATGCTAGTAAGTTAGATGCCAAACTGGCCAAATTGAGAACACGGAGTCAGTTAGTCAAAAAATGTCTAGTGTAGATTCCCATATGTTATTGAAGGGTTGATTTTTTTCTTTTTGTTTATATCGACTGACTAATGTAGAATACCTTACTTTTTTCATTTTTAAACGATGGATAACTGGGAGCTCTTGAATTGTGTTTGTGCAGAATGTTTCTGTGTCAAGGTCACGGTTGAGGAAGAGGAGTGGCTACACAAACACTCAGTCACAAGGTTCTTTATTTAGTCATACGAACATAGCTACAGTGTTGTTATGCCGATGAAAATCTTGTGTCACACACGTAAAGCAGTTTATGCTATTCATCTGGAAGGTTGTGATATAAAGATTCACACTGTCATAACACTTAAGGGTTTGTGGATTCAGACTAACCAGGATTGCGAATGCCAGTTATCTAGATTTAAGATGTGATGTAGTATAATATTACATAACGCAAAAGGATATCGTTTTGTGTGTATTTACTAGCCGTGTTTACGTTTATTATGTAGCATCTTTTAAAAGTATTATTATTTTTGGAGTGCTTGCTACCTCAGTTAATTTATACACCAAGGTTTTCATATACTTTATCTCAAAGTGGGTTAAATATGCGAGCTTCCTAGATATAACTTCCTCTTGGATATCGAAACAAACTGCATTTCAAAACAGTTAAAAAACCTAGGTGACATCATAGTGTCTTACCATCTGCACTCACAGTTACATGAACACTCAGAAACCCTCCTCCTCAGCCATGGCTCTGTCTGGTGAATATACAGCAGCTTGTTTAAGTGTTCATGGCATGCATTGTGGGAGAACAAACCTCCTTTAAGACCACTCTGCTGGGGACAGACTGACACTGAGCACCTTGACATCTACACTCACCGTTAATCACCATAAATGCTCCACAGCCTCTGCACTGTAGCTCCTGTGCTTTGTTTTGGTGTGCGCACATGCGTCCGTTTGGTATATTTGTCGTCATTGTATGTGTTGGTATCCCGGCATCTCCCCCCCCCCCCCCCATTTCCCTCCCTGCATGTTAAAGTGTCTCCTACCTCCCCCCAGGAAGCCCAGACAACTGTTGTACACAACCCAGCTGACGGCACCAAGGTAAGCCCCTCCTCTCCCACCTCCAGCCCCCCCGCTGCTCACACCTGCAGGGGACTGCTGGAGGATTTTCTCTAAACACACTAAACCATGCAGCGCTCTCAAAACAAACGACTCTCTGTGCTTCATTGTGCAACTTATTATTCTTTATCTTCCTATTCACTCAAATAGAGTCTAATCCTGTGAACATTTCAAATCTGGAAACACAATTTAAATCAATGTTAAGGTGCCCAATTATTGAGCCACTAAATAACGTAGAGTTTTTTATTTGTATTAATACATTTAAAAACGTTTGCTCTTCCATTTAAGAATAAGGAATTGGGATAAGTGAATTTAAAAGACACACATCATTTTTCAATTCTATTTTTAAATGGTTTTGTTTATTAATTTAAAATAATATCATAAGAACATATACAGTAAGTGTGAATACGGTGGTGTTACCCTTCAGATTAATACAACACTCTGACAACTGTATCTTCAATGTCAGACTTTTTACTAAATGAACCAACCACCACGCTGCTTACGCTGTGATGTTGGTGTGCAAGCTTTCAAATGAAGGAACAAATACACAACTTTCTTCCAGTCACTTGCTGACATGCACTGACACACTCCTTCCTGATACAATTACCCACACAACTTCAAATTGCTCACACACTCTGCTGCTCTTGTGTGTGTGTGGCTGCCCTCGCTGCTGTGCTGGCTGGTTTGTGCTCCTGGGAGGGAGTCGTCCATCTGTCCGTTTTCTGTGTGTCCGTTTGGCCAAAGCTTCCTCAACCCTGTCTCACTTACATATAATAAAATGTTTTGTTTTGCTGTTTCTCTCTCTTTCCCCCCACTCTCTGTCTGACAGGGCTCCACAGAGAGCTGCAACAACACAGAAGAGGAGGAGATGAAAGGTAGGAAAGGTACTTGTCCAACTTTCACCTTCTCTGCATGCCTCTATGATCACTTTGTATGTTGTCTTTTAAACTGCAGATCTTAATAAGCAAACATAAACATACATTTGAGTTGAGGTTTCCGGTTACTGTCCACTCTGCTTCGATCAGGGTTTAGTGCATGAAAACAGACAGAAGCTTTTCAGGAAAGACAAATGTGAGGTGAAGGGTTGGATATAAACACCCTGCATGTAAGCGGACTAATAACAGTGATGCTATCTTCAAGAATATACTTGTGCTGTTATCTGCATTAGGGCTGCTCAATTAATCGTATTCTAATCGCGATTACGATTATGGCTTGCAACGATTACAAAAACAACGTAATCGAAATAAAACGATTTTTTATTTATTATTATTACTTTTTATTTTTTTTATTCAGTTGAATTATACTTAAATTCAGGGTAATCAACTGTTAAAAACATACTGTTCAAATGTTCTTTCTCCAATAAATGGATGCTTTCAAAGTCAATGAATAATCACAATTACAATTATTGACCCAAATAATCGAGATTATGATTTTTGCCATAATCGAGCAACCCTAATCTGCATTCACATCTTGTGCAATTGCTCAAAAGCTAAACCTCTTGCCTCCCTGTCGGTGTGCTCGAGTGTGTGCCAGCCTCACACGCCACGACCTTCAGTTAAGCGCGCTCTGCTCGGGGAATGACCCTTTTCAGGTTATCAGGTGAAGTAGGACAGATCTGCTTCTGGAAAAGTAGTTAGTCCATTTATTGAAGTTGCTTAATGTGGATTAACAGGCACTTGATCTTATAGTGGATCATCTCTGACATGCAATCGGGAGAGTGTTGTGCTGTGTGTCTCTCCAAGGTTGATTACACTTATTTATGTAATTTGGTTTTGATTAAATCATCTGGGAAATGATTCGATTGCTCTTGTGTTCCCTGAAATACAAACTCTGTAAGGATGCATCAGCTCCTCCATGTGTGAAATCCCAGTGAAGTCACAGGGTCGCGGAAAGGTCTGTTAAATGAAGCACTTAATGTCACAACATCTTCGATTGCGGCTCACACATTTCCTGCAGCCTGTTGCACCAGCCGAGTGCATACGAACACAAACTGCCACACAGTTACTAGCCAGTTTCACATTCAACTCCAGATCCCTTGCACGACTTCTACTTTAGCTCAAATGTAATTAAGTCAACCAAACATTGTCTGCATTTTAACTGAATGTATCATTTAATAAATCAATGTTTTACACACATCTATTCAAAATGATGGATTGAATATTTCCCCTTTTACAATCTGGCTTTATTTGACTTGAAATGAACAAACTAGTGATGTAACTGCTTTGACAAGATTTAAAAATAAAGTGGGGTAACAGCCTATTAGTTACACAGTAGAGCAGTAGTTACATCATGTGCTGATAAACTAACATTAACCACATCAATTGTTGAGTCACATCCTTCTGTAACTCGTACACTGTCATACTCTTTGTTATGGTGAAACCTGTTTTCACTTCCTCACTACTTAAACTAAATGACAGTGTGTTTAATGAGAGCTGGTTCAACAGGCAGCTGATCTCTGTGTGGCCTTGATGCTCGGGCATTCATCTCCTCAGAGGTTAGGGGATCTTGGAGGTTTGGCTACATGTGTTTTTGCTTTTCAAGTTTCTTTGTTTCCTACTTTCTGGAGTCTGAATCATCGACCTGTGTGTGTGCAGCTGCTTCTTTAGTGTGTTGGGATTTACAATAATATACTATCATGTGAAATCAAGGATGTTGGTGGATGCAGACATTTTGATCATTTGAAGCAAAAATGAAATCTCCGATCTCAAAGTGAGGGTTTGCACACTGCTTTGTTGGTTTTTATGTTGATTTTTTAAATTGAATACTTCTGAATCTTTCTTAGACAAAACCTGCAATTTTAAGATGTCTCATCACGCTGTGGGGATTTGTCATTAGGGCTGTGATTAACAATTATTTCATTTTGTCTTTTCACATTTGCAGAATACAAAGCTTGGTATAATTTCCCCCAGCCTAAGGCGATGACTTTCTCATAAATGACAGAAAATAAGCAATTTTCATGTTTTAAATGCTGCTATTATCAAAAGTTGTACCATTTTGATGTATCAATGAACTAAAGAGTTGCAGCTTTCATGTACTTCTGTAGTGAGTATGCTCCCTGTCAGTGTGCATCTGTTTGTGTTGATGTATTTGTCTTGTGATGGGGCAGTGTCTGCCTGCGAGTCCTCTACTTCAAGCAGTGTGACGTTAAGCCAGTGCAGCACTCTTGAGGACCGGAGCCTGTTACTGCAGTACCCCGCAGCACCCAGCTGTAAGTCAGCAGCAGCTTCCCTCTCAGCTCTGATCTCTAAACACATCTATACTGCAAGCAACACCAGACAGTGGGTCATCTAAAGGCTCCTTCTCTCTTCTCCCCTCCTGTGCTGCCATCTTCTGGCCCCGGGCCTGACTGCACCGACTGTTCCTCCTCCACACTGAGGCCCAATTCCATTTAGCCCCTGCACCCTCTCCATACCCACTTACACCTTTTTGGCGCTTTTTCATGGAGGGCCTGCCACATCAAGTGCCTTCCTAAACCACTTAGTGAAGAGTGGGTTATCAAACCCTCCAGCAGTGAGTCTGCATCGCCTGAGCAGGTGCAACGGTGTTTGTGTCCCTCATGGAACAAGCTGTGTAAAAGTAGTTCCACGCAAACATTAACAAGTGAACTGCGTGACTAAATTGACATTTCATACAGATTTTTATACAGATTAGTTATTTTGCCTAAGACCATATACCCTTGCCTAGTCCGTGGACATGTGCAGCTGATTGTAACATTCTGTATTTTTACAGGGACAATGCACATTAATTAACAACAGCACTTGAGTCCATCATGTAAATGTGCCAGATTTAGCTAAAGAGGCTGATAAACCTTAGTGAGAGGAAAAAAGGCCACTAAAGATGTTTTTAAGTTTTACTGAAGAGATACTGATTAGAAAACATGGTTATGAACAGTTCCTGTTTCCACTGGAGAGAGCATAAATCGACCAAATGCTTACCACTGTAATTCAAATCCTCCATCTTAAATAAGGAGCCTCATTGAGTGTGAGGGTGTATGGGTCTGTTTGGAATTGGGCCTTTTGAGTGCCATGACTTCAATTTCCCACTTTTACTTCTCTACACATAAACAATGTTAAATTCCATGTATATAGTTATGTTCACGGCGTCTCAGCTCTGCTAAATATGACTTTATTTCACTGGGTTGCCTGCCTGCAGCGTGCCCCCCGCAGGAGGCTGCTAACAGCTCCTGTCCTGCCCCAGAGTCCGCTCTGCCGCCCCCTGCAGGCAGCAGCCGCACCCTGCAGCACAGTAAGTGCAGGCATGTTGTGCAGTGCTTGTGCAAAAGGCTCCTGAAGCAGTGTTCATAGACTCAGTTTCACTTTCACCCGATGGCAGAAGGTTTGAGGACTTATGAACACAGAGTTACATGCAGGTGTGGAGGATCTGCTAGCTGGCTTTACTGGCTCAGCAGCTGCATGTTAAATATAAAATAAACACTGGTCTAGTGGTTTATTACTCTGTAAATCAATACCCAACCCCAAATTAAAAAAAATCTAAATATGGGACGCAAAGGTCTTTACATTGACTGTTGTATGTTACGCCAATAATAGTTTTATGAAATGTATTCACAGCATCAGATACTTTGATGCTGTGTGCAACACGGAGCGCGTGGTGTGTTTTTGTACAGGGTGATTTCAAAACGTCATTGTCATTATTTCCAGAGGGCTGTCCCTCTTCTGTGCTGAACTCATTTCAAATGTCAGTCAGTTCAGAGAGAGAGAGAGAGAGAGACTGTAGGAGCAGCGTTAGTGTTCAACCTTCAAAGTGACTTCTGTCAGACTTAAACCTCCTCTTGTGTTCCCCTCCTCCTCTCTCTCTGTCCTCAGCTCGTAAACAGGAGATAATAAAGATGACGGAGCAGCTGATTGAAGCCATCAACAATGGAGATTTTGAGGCTTACACGTAAGTATGCAAATGCAATTAAGTAATACAAGTCATCATGTTGTAAGTGCTTTGTTGAGAGCATTTTGACCTCTACATTCTTCATTTCAGAAAACATGTTTTGTATAAAGGTTATTTATGTTTTCCTCTCACAGGAGAATCTGTGACCCTGGACTGACTTCCTTTGAACCGGAGGCTCTTGGAAACCTGGTGGAGGGCATGGACTTTCACAAGTTCTACTTTGAGAATCGTAAGTTACTCAGTGTTGCATTTATTTTATTTCTAAAAGATCTGGGAACATTACAGATTAATAAGAGAAAGGTGGATCTTTCCTGCACAGATCTTTTATTGAAAGCTTTTAGTGAGTTATTCTGACTTGAAAGCATGGTTCATGACCTAACCAGAGTCAATTATCTTTCTATAACTGTAAGGTTAATTTGAGACTAAAGCCAATCCAGACACACCATCCGTCATGCTGTATTTTGGGGGAAACGTGTGTAAAATGATAAACGAGACATGGTGAATGTACATTTAAATATCACTTACCCCTTCAGTAATCAGTTGGCTGCTGTTTGAAGCTGCCAACATTTGTCACCTATGGCATCTATGCTAAATGATCTCAAATGTGGATACTTAGCTACCCATCGACACCTGACCTCCGTTTACAAACAGCTGAACTTCCCATTTCCACCCCCACAGTGCTGAGTAAAAACAGCAAGCCCGTGCACACCACCATCCTGAACCCCCACGTGCACCTGATCGGGGAGGAGGCCGCCTGCATCGCCTACATCCGCCTCACGCAGTTCATGGACGCTCAGGGCCGGCCGCGCTCCTGCCAGTCGGAGGAGACGCGGGTCTGGCACCGCCGCGACGCCAAGTGGCTCAACGTGCACTTCCACTGCTCCGGAGCGCCAGCTGCCCCGCTGCAGTGAGCCCACACCAGGCCCAGGTACATCAAACATCTATCATGTGATAAGGAGTGTGGGGGGACCAGGAGTTCTCAGTACTATGACTTTATAAAGACTTTTTATTGCATGCTAGGAATATTTTCTTATTTATTTTTTATTATGTACTTTTTTTCTACGCCATACGTTATGATCATGACTTTTTATGACTTTATATATTGAATTTTTGCGATTGCAATGTATACTATTATTTAAACAAATGTTATGACATATTAGGGTTTCTTATTTATAACATGCTTTATCCAACTTTCGAGGACATGGCATATTTTTCAGCACATTTTATTTCATTATTAATTATTTATTCACATTTTTAACAACATTATGGCCCACTATAATATGGTGGTTTTTAAGTTTTAAATAACACAAACAAAATTCCTGTGTTCTCCATTGAATTGAATGCAACATTTTCAGCTACAGATATCTCTAAAACTATTATTTTAGTTCTAGTTTTAAATAACTTTCCCCACTGACGTTTCCTTTCCTCTCTCTCTAGCTTTGCCTGAAACTCTAAAGCTGTTTGGAGCGTTTTATTCTCCACGGTCGGATTTGTGCCTGGATCCTGGCGGGGAAGAGAGGCAGCTTGGAGAGGTGTAAAATCACAAAAGTGGGGAAAAAGGGTGATATATTAAAAAGTAAAAAAAATAAAACATATTTCAAAAGCTTGACTAAATAACCGCCCAACATGATCCAGTCAATCCTCGCTAGGGGGGTGGGGGTGGGGGGGTCCCGGCTGACGCTCCTGCAGGTAGTGCATGCTCGGGGGGGGACACGGGGTGAAGCTGTCCCTTCTCCCATGGCCTTTATTTCCCTGTATCTGTTATGTCTGCTGTCTGGAAAAGTATTACAAGTATATCTATCTAACCGAAAAACAAGTACACTCACCACATATTGAACAGAACCGGGGCAATGAGAGTAATATCTGGAAATGTGATTTATATTTTGTCTGAGAGCAGCAGAACGTCTACTTGAATAGAAGTTTGTTTGACAGGTTTATGAGGGTTGGATTTATGGGAGCAACTTATATCTACTTAATATCCGAATTTATCATCCATTTAAGTGTCAGGTTTGAGCGTCTGTACACCATGTTGTGAGGCGTTGAGATTCGTTACTGAATGGACCTTTGTTTTGATTTTGTGTTTTTGTATCATGTGTTATGAAGCTGTTTTTACCTGTACTTTAAAGTGTTGAAAAAGGATCATTTTTAATCAAAAGGGGGGTTTTATTTAATAGAAGTGTGTGTGTGTGTGTGTATAAACAAATATTTATATTAGGAAAAAAGGGGATATACTGTACGTTTAGGGTGAAGGGAGGGGAGTTGAGCATGAGTGGGTTTTTTTCTCTGTTTTGAGGTCCTGAGGGTGTATACACACACAAGTACTCACTCCGGTGCACGCACACACACACACACACACACACACACACACACACACACACACACACACACACACACACACACACACACACACACACACACACACACACACACACACACACACACTCTCACTCAGAGGGTCCAGCCGTTAGGGTTGAGCCTCTCGAGCTTTAGACACACGAGGCCAGCTCATCCTGAAGTTGCAGAAGGTCTGAACTACCTAATCTGAAAGCACCGAGGCACTCTCTCTCTCTTTATCGTTATTTTGTGTATTTTTGATGTGAAGCATGAACTATTTGATCAGACGGCCTGTACTGTTTTTGCACAGACACTTATGACTCGATGCTGTTGTGTTCGCTCTTTGAGGGACTGATCCTTCCTGCAACTTCAGGTTCCGCTCGCCTGAATCCTTCCCGTCCCTCCGCCTCTCTACTTCTATCATTCCTGCCTCTTATACTTACTCCACGTCCCCATTACTGTCCGAGTAGCACCTCGTCGTGTGATGATGATGTCACCCTTATGCCTGTCTCTCTTGTTCTGACCGTGTTCTTGAAAAACGTGTGTGTCGTCCGTCTTGGCTTGCTGTACTTCTGTGTGAAGTCCTGGAAATATTTTAAAAAGCATGTTCAAAAGGGAATGCAGCCGAGGGATTGGACAAAAAAAAAAAAGGCATGATGATGGGACGGGGCTCTGGGACCTTCGCTGATGGCAATCAATGGATTTGGTCCCTTTTTGTCACAGTTTTTCTTGTAAAATGTCGTAGTTGTTAGTGTGTTGGTGTTGATATTTTAATTTTAGCCAGATATATAAAAAATGAGGGGATTTGGAATAAAGGAATCTGAGACTGCCACAAACTTTTTTTACTGCCCGTTCCTCCTCACATGCTGAACTCTCGAGATAAACATACTTAATAACAGAGGAACTCACAACATCATAAAAGCACATGAGATAAAAGTGTCTCCCTCCAAAGAGGAGAAAACATATCTCCATGTCAGTCGTTGAACACTGTTTTTGCACTGTGTCGTACAAACTTGTGAGTGTGTGTCTTTCTACGCTGCTCTGTAGTAACTCACGATCACGCTTCAATCACACACCGTGGTAAACACTGACAGATGAGCATATTTAAAAAGATGAATCGTAGTGAGGCGTCGTCCTCCTGTATCAACCGCCTGTGCTTCTGAGTGATGTGACATATCTGACATGCCATGACCACTGTGTCCCCCACAAACACACACACGTATTTTTGCGTCATAACAAGGATGCTTTGTAAATCTGTTTGTAGATCTGCTGTGCTGTGGCCCAGGTGTGTGTTGATGCCACCAAATCTGACAAAATGCTTTTTCTTTCATTTTGGATGTTTGATCGGAAAATGAAGATGCAGTTAAACTTTACGGGTTATCTTACAGAGACGAAACTGATATTAGGGAACAAATAGATTCATAGTCAAGTTTGCCGAAGTATTTGGACAGCTGGATTTAGTTTTAAATGTACACTTAAGATGATGGATATGGAGTGAAACATTGACTATCGATCTGAGAGTGGTCAATGTATAACTCGCAGAAACAAACATTTCTCTTAAAAATATCAGAATTTTTGAACCTATAAAAAACAAAACTGCCCCAATTGAATATCAAAAATGTCCACTCATACCACAGCAATTCAGATATAAGATTTACATTTAGTAGGACTTTTATTTCACACTTAAGTGTTAATTGACTTATTATTAAAGTTACATGACTACCTATGTTTCCGTAGAGAACTACAGAGTGGCCTCCCTGCTTCAGCTGAAGATCCATTTGAACATTTCACCATGACAGGGTATTGACTTTTAAAGCTTGCTGATGTAAATAGAAAATGTGACCAAATATAGACTTACCTTCACACAGGGTAAACACTTTGATAAACTCCTTAGTTAAAATACTTTGGCAAATACGCAATATATGTGAGATTCAAACAGTACCTGAGGAAAATGTTGAAACGGGATTATTAAAATCACAATGTTAAACAACAACACTATATATGCAGTTCTACAAATGGAAGAAATATGCATGTGTACTTTCTGGTAATTTTTCACTGTTTACTCAATAAAGAAATGGAAATCTATGTTACTTGCATCCTAGAGGTTATGAAATGGTTCCGTCTGAGATATCAAAACAAAGTGATGTGATGTCACATTAAAATTGTTAGCGAAAGCCTTAGCTTGTACTACGTGAGTAAAATGCATTGTAACCTTAAACTGAAGGGGCTACACATGTGTGTCTATACTTTGAGTTTCAATGGATGCTGGATTTTTTTTGCATGACCATACGGTTAATAAACATACATTTAAAATATCACGTATTTGTTTGAATGGTTGTTCTTCATAGGTTTGTTATTAATCGAAACATTGAAAAGTATTTAATAAAAATAACATTTCAATATTGGTGTTGGTTTCTCTCTCGTCGCAGCTTATTGTTATGGATGCAGTAATAAAGATATTCAATGGTGGTTGATAAATTACTGTTTATGTAGTAGTACTGTATATTTTGGTAGTTAGCATTTACTGTATGTATACATTTGTATTTGAATAGTAAGGGAAAAAAACGCTATTTAATGTTACGTTTTCAATATAGGAGTGTATTCAACACTGGAATACCAATTAATGCATTCGTTGACATGTTGATGACTTTGCAAACACTTATGTCATTGATCAACAGTATTTGCTTAAATAGTTAATATTTAAACCCTTTTATCCCAGAAAAAAATATTATTTGAATGTTTAAAGATCGTCCTTCAAACAGACCAATAACTACTGTCTGTTATATCTGCTGTAGCTGCAGTACTAACAGTCACCTGTAGGTGGAGCCAAACACCAAGCAAATCAACCTAAAGACTTTAAGCCTGTTGTAAAACACTCAGCTGCACTAACATACTGCATGTGTATTAGTTTTTCTCGATTGCTAACACACATTTTTTTTTTAATTGCTCAGTTTCTCAGAACACTTAACACAATTCACAAAACCACACACCCAAAGTGCAAAGCACCAAATTTCTCCTGCTAAATGAAGAACTGCACTCAAAACTACATAAACACTTACCAAATGCAAACATTTGCACCACATATAACACACTTCATTCATAATACTGGATTGTTTGACCACCCAACTAGACACTGCTGAGCATAATCTAAAGCACTTTCATCTTTTAGGGGCTATGCGCTGTACATAGAGGCTTTGCAGAGAAAGATTGCTTGAGTATACAGAAATACAGTAGGCCTAAATGAAGAAATACAAATGAGTTGTTGAAAAAAGAAAATCATATTTTATTCAAAGATAACATTGTGCAACATGCATCTCAGCACATAGTTACTATGCTTCGGATCTCTCTAAGTGTAATGCATTGTTTGTAACTGCTGCTTCCTGTGCCTCATCCTTGGCCTTCCACCTGCACCTCTTTTTTTTTTTAGTCCTTCAGATAAACAACAAAGACACAGTGGTTGGTCAGTGTCTGTGTTGCATAAAAGTAAGTTTACCACAGTACATTGTGCAGGATTTTTGTACAGTTATAGTATGCAACATGCCAACAATTCAATTACAGTAATGAAGTAAATATGTTCACACAACAGATATAAGCACTGATATATCATGAATTCTGCAGAGCTACAAACAGGTAACCTGTTTTCAAGTCTAAGTGTCCGGATTACAGAGGCAACAGTAAATCGGCTTAGATTAGGTTGAACCCTCTGTCCAGTCAAACCATATTCTCTCCCTCCAGCTCTACCTCTACCTCTCATTCTTCCTCCTCTAACTCTCACCCACCCTTCCTCCACTCTCACTCTCAGCCCAGCTCTTCCTCTTCCTCTTGCTCTTGCTTCCATGTTGGCTTCCATTGTTGCTGTAAGAAAGTACTCACCTGTGGTCTTTTTATAGTGCTAACATCCTGATTGATGAGCCAACAATTATGCGATCAGGTGTTTGGTCAGGTGGAACGCGTTTCTTGATTATTGGTCCATGTGTGAGGCATTTTGAATATCAGTGTTCTAAACCAGCTAACATGTGACTTTATGTCAGATTCCTGTGTTTTACGTGGAGAAACGTGTGCAGTGGTTTGCGAAAAGTGCCATGTTGATTTGCAAATTGTGTGAAAAGCTGAAAACGTGTTTGGAGATTTGAGCCGATGTTTTGCTCTTTGAGTGTCAGTTAAAATAATTGTGCTTTATGTATCATTTTAGTGTGTTAGCAATCGACAAAACTGTAAAAACGGTTGGCAGTGTTCAATAGCTTCCATGTGACTCAATCAATGCAGGATTATATCGATACACTGGATAAATTAGAAACACTTCTATTTTAAATGAATATTGTTTACATTCTTTGCAATAGCTTCCATGTCATGTGACCTAGTGCTACCAAATCCATGCAGGATTGTATTGCTACATAGGACAAGACATTGAATTTAAGTGAAAATTGTATATATGAATCATTTAATAAAAAAGGTCAGCATTTTCTCAATTCTTACCTAATAGATTTCATGTCATGGGACCCAATGACTCCAAATCAATGCAGCATTGAATTAGACAGATTTTTATATAAATATTTGAATAAAAACTCAGTTTTTTTTTTAATTGAAAATACTTAATAATGTTCAATGTCAATTACAAGTTAATTCTACATTTTCTACATCCCCCCAAAGGGAACTACAAAGTCCTCCATTTAGTGCAACAGTGAAAAGAAATACGAAGATTGTGCCGCTTTCTTCCACCATTTTCACTCCTTTAAGGGTGTGAATGTTTCCCCTTTAAAACTGGAGAAACTTCTGCCAGGGATTCTGACAATAAAATGATATTTGGGTCTGTATGTTGTGGGTGTAGCATTAAGACATTCACACAAAAAAAGAGCACACTTTAGGCTTGATGATTTTTAATTACATCAAATGGATTTATGTAAAAAGTGGAAAAGGAGGAAAACACTGGGTTTCATCACCATCATGTTCAACATGTTCAACACAGCTACAGAAGTCTGCACGTTCTGGGTCAAAGGTCACCGTACGGAGGGCCTTCTCAGGAAGTACAAACACCGTACTGTGGAGGTATGGAGTTAGCAGGAAGTGTGCTTTTACGGTTTCCTTTTCAGAGCAGGGTGGGAAGCGATACATGACACGATGTAGTGTGATTTACCATATGACGATATATGATATAAGCTAAGATGAACAGTGTGTAGTGTTTCAGGGCCTCCAGCTGTTTATAGGTCACCTGACACACTCCCATGATGAGTCTCTTTTTCTCTCAGATCACATGACCTTCACTCATGATTGGCAGGCAACAGACGCCATCACACAGCTGCTATGGCTTCCTGTCCAAGTCCATTTGGCATCCTTTCAAATAACCTCCCCTGACGTTGTCCTCTTCTTTGATTGGACAAAGGAAGCGGGATGATTGTTTGCTCCATGCAGATTGTGATTTTCAGCATTTTTAGCAGGTTGGTGCTGACATGCTTTTAAAAATGTTTTTTACAAGCCTGAATGAATGTTATCCTTTCTTGTCCATGCTGCATATTTACAAAACACTTTTTGTGATCATGGCGTTGGGCAGGAGAAGGTCCTACTGACTTAAAAGTTGCACAGAAAATCCAAAATGGAGTCACATCAGTCTGGTTTAAGATTGCCCTTTTGGCTGTTGTCTGAACATTGGCACTTAGTCTCAGTCCGTAGTGCACATCTAGCAATCCGTCGCACTGAAGGACACATGGCAGTGCAATCTGCCACAGCTTTAGTCTTTACAGAAGATCAAAACTGTCACAGCAACATTTTCTAGTATTTTTTCTGTTTCCTTGATTCAAGGAAGAAAAACCCAAACAGAGAAGGAAGCCTCTTTTCTCTAATCAAATGTCCTGGGTTAAAATAAAAAAAATTAAAAAAGAGGGAAACGGGGATATACAATCTTTTCTCACTGTAGACGGTCTCAGCAGATTAACTCTACAAGGCTTCAGACTCACAGCTCCAAGGCCACCTTTCTCTCTGAGTCCCAGGCAAGCAAAGAGTGGAAAGAGTACGAGTAGAAAGGAAAAGGAGAGAGATTACGAAGTAAAGAGGCAGCGTTGAAAGAAAGAAAAGAGAACACAAAGTAAAAAAGGAGAGAAAAAGAAGATTAAAGTCACAAATTGTCAGTCTGCAGTGATATACAAGAGAAGGAAGCAACCAGCCTGGGTCTACATGCACTGTGGCGGAAACAAGAAGGGGGAAGGATTTCAGCGTGACACCGAAGCCATGCAGTAACAACAAGCAGCCTGACAACAGCAAAGGGACTATTTTCTTTGTTCACCAGCAGGAAACACTCAGCAGTCACCTTCGCCAACAACACATCAGAAACATCACGGCGGAGGGATACGTGAGGTGTTGGGGTGGGGTGAGGTGGGGGGGCTCCTCTCGTTGGGGGGCTTGGGGACACAAACAGGCAAAGCGTTCAGCGACCTGGGTAAACGGCCCATATGCCATGCAGACCCCCATCAGGGTCCCATCGGGGTCTCATAAGGCGGCGTTTGGCACCACAGGGACAGTGGACAGGACAGTGAGGAAGAGGAGGAGGGGGATGAGGTTTGGGCTTAGCAGGGGAAGCAAGTGCACGGCAGGATGGACGACATCTGTTACACCATGTTTTAGGTTCCCATGGAGACAAGACTGAACCCCCCCACCCCATTTCTCCCGCTCGAGCAGCACTCACTCACCACGCGCTCACAGCATGGTAGCAGTTTAGCTTTGCTGCGGCTCCCCGCTCCTGCTTTTAGACTTTCTGCCCTCCACATCTGTAGGACAAAGGCAACGTTCATGTTACATCTGAAGACAGTGACGAGAAATCTTAATTTACTTCATACCGGAATATATTTCAGATTAATATATAAATACATCAAAGCAACTTCAAAACAGAGTACAGAAGCAGAAATAAATAAGGATATAGAGGTGAACAGTTCTACTCTTTTTGGCACAGAAAGCAGTGCCCGTCTTTGATTATAATTTAAGGGTTACTACAATCTGTACAAGATCTCGTCTAAAATACATGATCAAATATTATCCATACAGTATGTGGTGCGTCAGGGTGAGTCAATACAACACTTCAGATGCCAAAAGAAATGATGTACGCTTCATTCACAAAACAATCTGACCATTGAAAACTCAACTCTACTTTTCTCTTCTCTCAACTATTCTACTACTTCCTGTTACTATAACTCTATAATGAGCTGAATACAAGTCAAATATAACCCCCCCCCTGGTCCTCCATTGCTTTCACTCTCAGCTTCCTCTTCACCAGCTACACCTTCCCTCAGATCATTTTGGGAATGAAGCTTCATCATTTTGTCACCAGCCCAAGATGAATGACCATCAGATCAAAACCCACGGAGATCAGGTTAATATCAAACAACAAGAAAATACAGAAAAGGTGTATAAAAAAAACGAAACAAACCGTCCACACCGTCAATATAGAAACAAACAAAAAAAAGGTACACATGATAACCATTTTGATCACAGCAATCAAAATGAGCGTCGGACAAGAACAAAGCCGTGCAATTTAGTGAATGATGCAACCGAGTTAAAAAGCAGTGAAGAAGACAGAAACCCAAACAGCATCAGTAACAGAAAGTGGAAGCGAATGTATTATCCGACACATTGAAAAATGTGGCCCACAATGCTTTGTTTTATTGGACATTAAGATGATTTGGTAAAACAGAAACTCTGAGCCTTGATGCATTAACCCCAGACTGCAGATAATAGCAGAGTGTTAACGGATTGGATGAGGAAACAATAATATGGCTGTAAGATGAAAGAACATTCATCAAAGTCCCACCCCGGAGAATAAGGCAGAAAACAAAAACAACAGCGATTCACCAATCAGCACCAAACAGAAAAAGAACAAAAACGCCACACAGAGATAGTGCTCCAATAAATACATGCAGAGGAGGATTTGTAATTTATCCATTATTCATTCTCCCCCTCTTTTCATTAAGTCTGGGGGGGAAAGATCAGCGAGCCGGACCCCCACCTCGTTCACACACACCCGTACTCATACCACAGAGACTGGTTGTCCTCTGCGTTCAGTGACTGCTCCAAATTATTCTCACCACTGGGATCAAGGCCCTCGTTAATTTCTGTCACACTGGCTGGGCTGGATCTCATCTGGCCATTTGATTGGCTGTGAGGCTCGTTTTGGGAGGGGATAGGAGGAGGAGAGTGTGTTTTATTCGTAACAGGGGGCCCGCTGATGTTGCTGACTAGGGAGGGGTTTAGAGACAGGAAGGGGTGGGTTTTGCACGCCGACTCACTAAAGATGGAGTCCATGAACACGGACTCTACAGTGAAGGAGGGGCCGAGGAAGGACTCGAGGGTGGAGAGGTCGGGGTCCTCCAAGCTATGGCAAGGTAAGCTGAGTGACTTGGGCATGGTGGTGGCAAGGGGTCCCTTTAGGTTGGTGCTGGAGGGGTGGTACTCACTGGGTGTGGGCTGGGAGCAGACCCCAGCCTTAGTGGAGGCGCCGTTGGGAGACGTATCCACGGAGATGGGGGACCGGCTGTCCTTGGAGAGCAGGTCGTGGAGGCTGGTGCGCCGCGTGGAGCCCTCGGCGGTGGAGATGACGCTGCTGGCGCGGGGCAGGGTGGACGAGGCGGAGTCCAGGAGTCCCGACACGGACGTCGCTTTGCCCTGCGACGACAGGGAGGAGCGGAGCGGCACGGAGCCCCTCACCCGGGTGCTCTCAGCCTTACGCAGCGTGGGGCGGCCCGGCTGACCGGAGGACCTCGGAGGACGGTCGGAGCTGACGGGCGCCGCTTTCCCGCTGGCGGAGCGGAGGATGCCCCGGGCCTTCGTGACAGGACGCTCCTTCTGTACATGCTCAGAAGAGGTGGAGAGGCGGGGGGAGTCCACAGTGAGGTTCTCCTGACTGCCAGACTGCAGGAGAGAGCAAACATGAAGCATGAAGAACAGGAGCAGTACATATCGTACAAGCCTTCCATACTAGGTATTTGTATCTTTTCTAAATGTACCAGCATGCTATGTTTCAATTCAGAAATGTTTCACCCAAAAAATAACTAAAACTTAATTCTATGATTGTGATGGTTTTCCAGGAAATGTGTTTTCTTTACTCCTCAATGACAGTTTCTTTAATATCTTTGACATGTGAACAAACAGCACATGTTATGAAGTCATCCAGGGCTTTAGGAAACAGACATTTTCAACAACATTTTTTAATATATATAACATTTTTTAATAAAAAATAAAAAAGGGATCTAGCACTAGATAAATGGTTTCCTTTAATTTCCATAAAAGATTTGTACACTTCACGTCTCAAAATATCCAGCAACATACAGATGAGTTATATCCGAGTCGGACCCTCACCTCTGCAGGATCGATGCCCTCGTCCAGGAACTGCTGCAGGGACAGCACCTCGCAGGCTGGGGACCCCGTCTTCCTGCCGGGGGGCTGTCCCGGGTCGAGGGGCCTCCTCAGCTGCAGGGGGCTCTGGTGGGAGGTTCTGGAGGAGCAGGGCTGCTGCACCGGGCTGCTGCCGCTGCTGGACCACACCTCCTGGTCCAGACTGAGGCTGAACTCCCCGCTGCTCTCACTGTGGGGCCGGCTCAGGCTGCCATTCAACGTGCCTGGGGGGTTAGAAATAATCTATGGTTTATATTGACCTTTATTTTTCACCACTAGCAAGTAAGTAGAGCAACACTTTCATTGAATATGAAATATATTTGTGGTGCAGGAAACATTTGAATACATTGTTCTAACTCTGATAGCCCATGTAAAACCCTGGCCATCCATCACTGATGACTTGACAATTAGAGAAAAGAGGAAGATTTCAGGAGTGATGACATTTCAGAAAGCTGGAAAACCTAAATGAAATATTAACAGTGCATGTTTCAAAGATGCATGACATTACGCATTTGGAACAAATTCAATTTCTGTGAAAGAAAGGGCACTTAATATTGCCAGAATTCAGATTTGATCATCCAGTTCGTTAACGTTTAAAATACGGTCAAATGGACATTTTCAAAGGAGGAAACATTGAAGTAGGATTCGAGTGAACACATGAAAGGAAAAGGGATAAGAAGAAGTGAAGAAGGGAGGCAAGAATACTTAGTTTAAAGGAGGAAGAGGAAGAAGGAGTAAAGGGAAGGAGGAGCATACCTTTGCCCTCCAGAGGAGAGGTGAGGTGGGAGTTATTGTTACTATTACTACTGATGGTCCTGTTGCTATGGAGACTGGGGGGTCTTGAGGCTGGGTAAGGGACAAGAGGGAACACACACAAACACACACAATTAGGATGTATAAATATACACATACACAGAGTAACACGTAGGTACAGCTAGCGGTTGGAGGAGCGTCTCCTGCGGGGCGGCAGATGGCTCCTGCCAGGCGGAGGATCAGAGCCAACATGTCCGCTCAGTAAACAAAGAAACAACTGACAGAGAGGACAGGGACGCCCAAACCCAAGGGCAAAGCCCCCTCAGAGAGAACTGAGAGACAGTACACTCAAATCCAGCACCGGACACTTTTGTTTAACGATGCTATGGACAGTCTTGCACTAATGTAAATTCTCAAAGATATTGAAGTGACGGTCATATTGATTGTTGTGCTTTTATTTAGGTCTTAATGTGTGCGTATGTATAAATGTGTCTTTTGATTGTGTGTATATAGGATATACATATTTTTATATATATTTGTTTTTGTATTCGTGATTTTGGGAAACGGTATTTCGATCTCTGTGTCTGTACACACAAACGGAAAGATTGACAATAAAGTTGACTTTGATTCATTGTGCAGCCCCCCTCTGTTAATCAGTCAAACATTAATCATGATGACCCTCATAAATAAGCATGATTGACTGCGATATTGAAGTTTTAAAGTCGTGCTCTGCTCGTCTGCAGTACGGAACAGAAATGCACTGAATTCAGATAAAGAAGATTATATTTATTTTGAAGCAAATATCTGTTCATTACTAGGAATGGTGCACAATTTGAAAGTGAGGTTTGAAACATTTGTATGTATATTTTGAGTCTAGGAGAAGCAGTTGAATCTGTCTTCTTTTGATAATGTACATATTTGTACACAAACAGGAAGGTAGAGAAACATGGAAGAGAAAGCAGTCCTCCAGTTTATTTAATTGAGGAAACTTTATAAGTATTTATTTTATTGTGATCTCGGTATTGAGCAGAATACTCATGATGATCTTTGTGGCTATAATCATGCAGCCCTACGATAGAGTAAGATTAGGGATACAAAAGAAGACATGGAGGAATAGGTGAACCTGAGGAGGAGGAATTGAGAAGGATGAAAGAAAAGAATGGGGAAACTGTGAACTGTGTTTTATGGATAGTTTTAGCCAGAGACCCAGAACTGCAAAACCATTTGTAACTGGTTATATGGACATTGGTGACACCGAAAAGAAAATGAACGATCACATTACTGAACCAGCCCTTTGCAGCCCAGAGGGGGATTCAGTGCAGAGAAGTGGTCACTACAGAAGCTACAGGGCACTCGGCACAAAACACTCATCTGAACAGGAGAGCGACGCAGAAACAGAGCACAGATGCCTACAGTGCATAACAGGTGAAGTTTAATGGGTTTTTCATGGTATGAAACCAGAGAGCAACAATCGATGTCTGAAACTACTATCGAGAATTTAAAACATAATAACATCTCTGAAAGATGACCTAATGGCTGATATATTATTAGTAATGTCTGGTGCGTGTCTGAGTGAGAGTTTCCTTTCATCCATTACCGAGTCGTAATGGAAAATGGGTTTTACAACAATGTATTCGATTTTAGAAATGCATTCTGGGAACTCAGCACTTAAGTGTACCATCAGCGCCGAACCTGAGTTCTACTTACGTCCTGGGGAGACAGTTTAATGATGGAATAATAGATTAGATACAATATTTAATGCAAAGTAGAAGTAAGTATGCCCACATTAAACCTTGTGCCTCAGTGGAAAATGTTCGGCTTTTTTATTTTTCATTTTGTTTGCGTTAATGCGCATAAAATGCTGACAAGGGTGGCTTTGTCCGTTTTATGCCCAAGTTCATTCCGAGCCACTATAATAATTGTATAATACATGTGTATCAAAAATACATATGAACATATATACACTGTTCATATGTAAACATGCATTATGCTTTTAAAAAGGTTGACATTCTGAATACAAAGGAAACTGGTTTAGTTGTTATAAGGACTTATATAAATATATTATTTTATCGCAGTTTTTTAATGAAATGGTCGTCCTCTAAGAACATCAGAGCAGCAGATTAACATAGTGAATTAGTTACATTAAGAGTAACTAAATAAATATATATTATACAATGAATATAAATAGAAATGCATTGAAACTAAAACTGTATTTTCAGAGAGGTTAGAAATGTATGTCAGTGGTTTGGTGGATGTTTAACAACTGGGTCATCAGAGCGGGCAGCCCTGATGAATAGTTGCAGATGAACTGCTCTGGATCATTCTAAAGCCTGAATTAGAGTCAATCCTACTTTCAATGGAGGCTGATCTCTCCCTCTCCCTTTTTTTTTGCTCTCCAATAAAATTGCTTTTCCAACTGTAGATCAAGCTCAACTTCGAAGCACACGAAGGAAGCCTAAAGATTAGCATTGGGACGGCTGAGGATATGACCTGCTTTTTTTAGGCTAATCAGTCATTTCACATTCCTCCTTTAGAGAGGCTGCTACAACCACACATCACTTTTCTTATTTCATGTCATGTCAAGACTTACCTTGAATCTTGGGGTCATCTAAGGAGCCGGCGACATCCTCACATGAAGCATTATCTGCTGAGACACAGAAGAGAGTGATGCTCCAGCTGCTTTTTTCTCTCAGATCTGACAATATATCACCACCTTCATATGAATCTTCACGCATGAGTCCAATCCGCATAAAATGGAGAAAATAAACAACTATGTGCAATATGTGGAATATATATATATATGCCGTTAATAACTGCAATATACACCTGGCTGCTAAATCCTCAGAACTGTTACAGGATGTGTATTTTTCTTATCTTTTTTATTTTTAATATTTTTGTATGCATGCTTCTTAGGTAACATTGAGCTGTCTTTGGCTCTTTTCTGCTGTAACAATGTAAAGTTCCTCTGTGGGACTAAAGGTATTCTGATTCTGAACTAACTCCTGAAATGTGTTCAGTAAAAAAGCCCAATACACGAAGAAATTGTCAGGATCTCAACATGCCGATTTTGTCTCTACCCTCGCAGGAATAAACCCATCATCCTGACCTTTGACCTGGAGGCGGAGCTTGGCCCTGCTCTGCCTGGCGGTGGGCAGGGTGAGCGTGGAGTAGTCGATGGCGTTGGTGGAGTAGGCGAGTTCCTTCATGCTCCGCCCGCTGCGCCGGCTGCTCCCCGCCGTGTCTCTGTCTCCGGCCTCAGCTCCGTCCAGGTGGTCGATGCTGCTCGCCCACTCAGCGCCGGGACCACCCGCCACCGCCATGGTCTGCAGCAGGTCGTTCATGGCTGGATGTGCAGCAGAGGAATGGAAATTAGGACAAATCAAATCATACTTTCACCTATTGCTTTTAACTTTTCGTCATAGAGACAATTTGTTTCCCTTAAGGGAGGTAAAATGGCTCAGATTAAGGCAACCATTTGATAAAAAGCCCTTATACAGGCTACTAGAGCGAGCAAATTATATCCCAAAAATATAAATTATTATAAGGTCAACTTAATTATTCCATGAAAAAATGTTAACATCCACTTCAAGTCATACTTTAGGTAGTGCTAACTTTTACTTTTCGTCATAGAGACCATTTGTTTCCTCTTAGTATAATGGATCAGATTAAGGCAACCATTTCATAAAAAGCCCTTATTGGACCTCATACAGGCTACAAGTCAATCCTACTCCTAACAAATCTAAAAGATGTTAACTTAATTTTTCAGTGAAAAAATAAATAAATGTTGTAGCGTAATACATTCAAGGGATGTGCAAAAAATAAATATTTGACCCAAAGTGCACAAAGATGGCAGCTGCAACTTTTTTTTTTTAAACAGGTGATCCATCACCTTAAGAGGCCACTGTCTTTATGCACTTTGTTTACTGAGCTGTGTGCGACGGTAGAGAAGCATGAAGGCATGCAAAGCTGCGAAAACCATGAAACTCCATGTCAGCAGAATAAGATCTGAAATGCAGCACACTGACAGGAAGAAAAAAGAGAGAGAGACAGACAGAGAGAAAGAGAGATACAGAGAGAGAGAGAGACAGACAGAGAGAGCCAGCCCCATAGACGCAGCGAAATATGTGAGCGCATGCCACAGCCTATCATAGCACATGTCACAGCCTAAGAGACAACAACAACAGAAAACAGCTATTCATCTCCTCATGGCTCACTTCTGATTAATCCTCTACTTCATGTGTCTTCCTTTTCTTTCTTTCTTTTTACATTTGATACTTGCGGTTTTGTAATAATATATTGTTGTAAATTGTTTAATGAATTGTATTTTTTTCTCTTTCTTATCATATCACTATTGAATTGTATTCTCCTTTACGCTTCGGCAATATTGTTCACCTGGCATTCATGCCAATAAAGCATATTGAATTGAAAATAGAGAACAAAGAGAGAGAGAGAGAGAGAGAGAGAGAGACAGAGAGAGAGAGAGAGACAGAGAGAGAGAGAGAGAGAGAGAGAGAGAGAGAGAGAGAGAGAGAGAGAGAGAGAGAGAGACCAAGGGCTCCATTTCAAGTCCTCCATGGTGAGTGAGAGCAGAGGCGATCAGGCGGTTGATGATTTAATTTTTTTTTTTTAAGTCATGCTATAATCAAAGATGGAGGCAAACACACCACAGGCGCATGAAAGGCAAACCAGCAGCCACTCCCAGCCATCCACTCACCTCAACACACCACACACACACAAGGCCTTTCATTTGGTTTACACAAAGAAAATAAACAATGACAAAGCTGCCCAATAAATTCCCTTTTGCATAGTTATTCCCACAATGACCAAACTATAAGAGATAAGGCTGTAGTGGATGAAACTGTAACACACTACAACACACACATCTACAGGAAGAGGAGATGCTAACTTTAACATCAGTTGTTGCATTGGAGTTCACCAATACATTCAGTTGTGTACATCTTAGCTCAACACAAGTTTGTGCTATTCATTTGCTAAAAGTGAGAATAAAAGGGACACACTGGTGACACCTGAAAAAAGCTGAGAGCAGATACTCTACAGGAGTGAGTGGAGGCGGCAGGAGGTGACGGAGGGGGTGGGGGTTAATAGGCAAAAATGTAAAGGACAAGTCACTGATGTCGGCAGGGTGTGCATGGAGGTGAGGTGACAATGCAACACATTTGAAACCTAAATCTTGTGTATGTAAATACTACGAGATAATATCACCACTGCAAAATGCTCTTCCGTCAATATTACATGGAAGTGTGTTGCCTGCAGGCCTGAGTAGCTTTAAGAGCTGTGGCTGAAACTGACACACTGTCACTGTAAGTGTCACGCCCCCACACTGCAGCCACCGTGAAATCAGTCACTGTTCCTTCTTTGTTTCTGCTAGTGTGGCGATGAGAGGGAGAGGAGGAGGAGGACTAGCGTGGCGGCTAACGGAGGTCTTACACATGGAGCGCCGGTAGATGGCTTTGGCCTCGTCTTTGTCCTTGGATCTGTTCCTCATGAAAGGCAACCTTTTTAAAGCTGTCAAGAGCGCAGCCAGAGACAGACAGACAGACAGACAGACAGACAGACAGACAGACAGGGAACAGAGAGTGACAGAACGAGCCCGAGGGAGGTGGAGGGAAGAAAGAAAAAGGAGGGCAGAACAGAGGGATGTGGTTAACATTTGAACAAAGAGAGATGCAGAGAGAGAGCTGAGCCCCTGGACACTCAACTGGACAATAGACAAACAATGCAATGCAGAGTATCACTATAAGGTTTAACAGCAGGGGATTATGTTAATATCAAGCATTGTTGATTTATCATTAGGCCTGTCACAATAAATGCTGGTGTAGGACCTTATGTTGTCCCAGAAATAAGATATATGACTGTCAATCTATGATGAATTATTAATGCCACTGATGATAATCTGATGGCATATTAAATCAAGAACACCCTTTCAAAGAGCAATTAGCTTCTAAATATGAATAATTGTAGTCATTGGAATGTAAAAATGTTTTAAAATATGCTAAATAAATAAACATAAATAAAATGGATCTACCAAAACCTGTATTAACAGAAATGCACAGATGCCCAAGTCTTTTAATGGTAGGGTAATCACTGCTGTTGATTCTGGCATCATGCTGGCTTAAGTGTTTGGGACATACAGTATGTAAACATTACGGGCAATATCAAGGTCAGCTAAAGTGTTCTTGGTCATATCCATATCACATGACGAGGGATTATTGGACAGGTCTATTGATTATCAAGTGTAAGGTATTTTTAATCTACACCTTCTTTGTATATCATGCTATCAACATGTTAGATTTGGTTAATGGGCTCAAAAAGAAGTACCATTAAAAGCAGATTTACACTTTTAACTTTCCCAATAAGGTTGTGTTTAGCGTCACAAACTTCAGTTTTTTTTTACTATTTTGTAAATGCTTGTTCAAGAGCTTTTTAGTTGGACTGAAACACATCCCACAGACTTATTTAATACCTGTATAATCCTATAAAAAAGGGCAGACTTTTAAACAAAGACAGATTATGCAAACAAACACAAAAATGTAAAACACTAACGCACATTTCTCCTGCACACAACAACAATCACTCATGGTTATGGTCATGAGTGTTGCATTCTGCATTACATACTGTACTGTACACAACAACACATTACCACCTACATGACACACGGAGGATGGATATATTAAAGGGTGCAATCAGGAGAGTGAAAAGGTCAAAGGGCACCTGAACAGCATCAGGGAGGACTGCAGTGTTTTTATAGACATAACCAAGAGAAATGATCATACTTCGGTACATGTCTTTATGTTTTATACAAGTACCTACGTTAAGGTGCGTTTGTTAACGCCACCATTTTCTGATCCCTAGGGGTAAAAAACGAACTTGTGCCGAGTTTAATAGCTTCTTGATTATACAAAACGCATATACAGTATAATGATAATAATAATTGTTTTTGCATTTTGTAAATTGTGTTACTTGCTGCTGTCAAATACCATCAAACTATGTGCAATATATACATATGCCATTAATAACTGTAATATATACCTGGCTGCTAAATCCTAAGAACTGTTACAGGACTTGTATTTTGAAAAGTATGTACATTTTTATTATATCATAACTTAGTACTTTTTTGTTAACATAGGTAACATTAAGCTGTCTGTGGCTCTTTCCTGCTGTAACAATGCAAATGTCCCCTCTGTGGGACTAATACAGGTATTCTGATTCTGATAAATCTACACAACTTAATAAAGAAGTTAACCCACTCATTTCTATAAATTGTAAACCCCACTAGTCCATGTACAACTTTCTTTATTCCGTATCTTCTAGCTATTCCAGACATCCAGGATGTTGACACCGCTTGCACTGCCTGGAAGTCAGCCATGTTGCATTGCACCTTTTAATAGCTTGGATGCTACGTTAGAGTGCTTTTCTCTGTTATCTACAGGTGAACTGCACAGATCAGCAGGTTGACACGACTGTAACTGAGAGCTAAGGAGCTTAAAAGCTGCTGGAGAAGCAGTTCATACTGGACCTGAGCCAAAATATACCTTTTCCAATATGTGAGCCACATCAGAAGCGCTTGATTCAGTTTGACACCAGAACACTGTTACTGTTAATTCACACATTATCATAGCACTGCTGTAACATTATCAGAGTCACGACAGACAGCCAAAAAAAAGGTTTTTACCAAATTGATGGGTAAAAGGGCACAGAAATCAAGCGCTCTCTGGTGTGTCAAACACAGGAAACACATATTTTTTCCACACAGGTCCAAAATTGAGAGTCAACCCTGTGGTTCTGTGCAGCTCAACCGTGACCTCTAGGACATCTGAGTGACACAGACAATGGACTCACGATAACATGCCCCGAGAGACGTGACTGTCGGTTCACAATCCCCGCCCACCCTACCCATCCGCAGCATACCATTGGTTGAACCCTGCCCTTGGGCATGGGCCTGCTGCCCTCTCCTCCCTTTGCAGAGAGAGAGAGAAGCAGAGGAGCAGTTAGGGGAGGAAAGACCCATTCAACCACTCAACCAGGACACAATTAATCAAACCAACACACACACAAAACAAGAATCAGTGTGTTTAGTGGGTACGATTATGTGTCTGTGAAAGTATTCAGGATCCCATGAACGTAGCAGTTTGCAAACTACTTTCTTTGTGTGTACACACTTGTGTCCATTTTTGTATGAAATAGTGTCTGAGTATTTGATCAGATGTACATTTACTGTACATTGTTTGGAAGGATGAATATCTGGGAGTTTGTAACCTGCAGGTCCGCTGCAACTCTGACTACTTTTAAATCCAGGCTTAAGACTTTTCTTTTTGCCGCTGCTTTTAATTGATATATTCATATCTTAAACTGCACTGTAACTTTTATTATCTTTGCTTTTCAATGAGTGTTTCTAGATATCATTTTATAATATGTTTCTTAATGCTCTTAATGTCTTTCATTTTTGTAAAGCACTTTGAATTGCCTTGTGTTGAAAGGTGCTATATAAATAAACTTGCCTTGCCTATCTGTTTGTATAAAGTGTCTTTTTGTTTATCTCGAGCAACCAGAAACAAGGTCCCTCAGTAGTGGTTGTATCTGTCACTACCCTGACTTTGAAACTTGAGTCTCCATCTGTGTGTGAGTGTGTGTGAGTGTGTGCTTGGACTCACTGTTGCTCTTCTTCTGTGTGAGTGTGTCGTCCAGCGAGTTGGAGCCAGAGCCGATGGACGAGCTGTCCTGGCAGTCCGGAGGAAGCGTCAGGAAACCGTCGCCATACTCTGAACGAGAGGGAGTCAGCGTGAGAGAGCGCATCCTGTCCCGGCTCTTCGGCTTGATCAACTTTTTCATCTTCAAAGTGATCCAGTTTCCACGCCTACAAAAGAGATACAAGACACAGCAAGACACAGACCATCAGGAAATCAGGGAAATAAAGTCCATATATATTGATATTAAAAAACATTAAGGCTGGGTTTTAAAATGTCTGATTTGTTCCATATGGGCGCCTCCAAAGCTCTGCAGACCATAAATAAGTGATGCATCTCTTCCTGAAGCTGCAGTTTGAGTGTTTTCGCCTCGGGATCAGAGTCAACAAGCAAACTTTTGAACATCAGAGTCTGCTATGATACTGTGACTTCTTTGAGTCACTCAGCGTCATTTTTACTTTAAAAGAATTCTCAAATCATTTCTAGTTCATTAAAACGAAATAACTAGAATTTTTTAATTTTTTTTGTCAAATAACTGTCAGTCATGTCTTTATTGAAGCTTCCTTTCACCTGCGTGGGGGCGAGGGGTCGTAGAACTTGTACTGGTCCATGATCTTCTCCTCCAGCTTCTCTTTCTGTCTCCTCAGCTCATTCAGCTTGTCTCTGATTGGAGGAACATTTAAAAATCAGTCAGTAAGACAAACAAAAATGAAAACAAAATGTCAACGCAACAAATTAGATTTGATCGTGCCATTATTAAATTAATTGCTGGATTTAGATTTTTTTTATTGAAAGGGATATTCTATCTGTCCGTTTGAAAAAAATACTCATCATCAAGGCCTTACATGTATTGTCTCTGCTCTACGTGGTACAGGTCCTTGCTCTCCATGGTTTGCTCCAGCAGTGTGCGGTTCTGCAGCATCAGAGTCTGGATCTGGTCCAACAGGTGGCGATTCTCCTCCTCCAAGTTTCCTTTTACCTGGCTCAACAACTAACACACACACACACACACACACACACACACACACACACACACACATTGAAGTTTAAAACAGAGGCTTAGACAGTTGGATCAACAACAAATATGATACATCAAAAGGGATTAAGCAACCACAACACAGCTGGTTTAAGAAGTTGTCTAACTAAATGTTAAGAGAGGCCAAAACACAGCTGGCTTTATAAGAAACAAATAAAAGGAAACTCCTAAATATAGAGAAGAGATGAGACATGAAGAGAACAGATGAGAAGAGACATGAAGAAAAAGAGAAGAGATGAGAAAAGTCAGATCAACAACAAATATGACACAACAAAAAGGATTAAGCAACCACAACACAGCTGGCTTAAGAAGTTGTCTTTCTAAATATGACACATTGAAAGAGTTGAAGACAGCTGGCTTTTAAAGTGACACGTAAAGGGGAACTCCTAAATATAGAGCAGAGATGAGACTCGAAGTAAAGAGAAGATAAGAGTAGTGTGTGTCTCCTCACCTCACACTGGTTGGTCAGCTTGGTGGAGGTGATGTCCAGCTGCTGGTACTGCTCCTTCAGTTTAGAGAACTCGGCCTCCAGCTTGGTCTGCTCCAGCTTGGCGCTGTTCAGCTGGGTCTTTGCGTTCTTATGGTCCAGCTGGAGGTTGTCGTTGTCCTTCACCAGCTGACGATGGGTATTGTTCAGCCTGAGGAGAGAGCAGGGGGAATACTCAATATAATGACATATTTGCATGTAAGGTGTAATCCTAAGGACATTTCATATTGATTCACTTGTTGTTCACAAGTTTGAACAGTAAGATAACAAATACTGATGATCTGACCTATCATTTTCTTCTTTGAGCAGTTTGAACTGGTCAGCTGTGGATCGGTGCGTTTCATTCTCCAGCGCCATTTTCTCTTGCTGCTCCTTCAGATTTTTCTCCAGATCCTCCAGCTCTCCCTTCCTCTGCATGAGCTGCTTGTACCTGCACAGACACAACACACACATTACAAACCGTGACATGACTTGCAAAAAGAAAGATTTATGATTGTCTTCTTAAGGCAGTATTAAACAATGTTAAAAAGGGGTGAAAATAGATTATTAGGTCATGAGTGAGACTTGTAATGGACTAAAGCCTAAACCCAGTCTCACTTGTAGGGACTGGGTATAAGCCCCCCCCCCCCTCTCAACCAACTTCCTCCTGACTGCTTTTCTGTTTTGTTTCTTTTTGGTTTTGTTTTTGTTGTGTTTGTCTACCCTCCCTCCCAAATGTAAAGCATCTTTGGGTTCAAGAAAAGCGCATAGAAATAAAATGTATAATTATTATTATTACTTGTCCTCCAGGTCCCTGTGCTGCTGCTCCAGGCTCTTGTGGGACGTCTTCAGGCCGCCATGTTTTCCGATCAGGGCTTCGTACTCGGACGCCTGCCTCTCGTGGAGCGCTGCCAGCTTCTCGTGGTCTCGGAGGAGCAGCTCGTAGGTGGACCTCAGCTCCTCTTTGTCCTTCAGAGCTCCTTCTCGCTCCCCCTCCACGCTGCTCTGCTGGGTCTGCAGCTGGGCATTCTGGGCCATGAGGGCGCCACTCTTCGAGCTCAGGGTGGAGTTCTCCACCTAAAGGACGAAGACAAAGATACATTTAGAGACGGATTCAAGATTTAAACATTATTGTCATATGCACAGTAGCTACAGTGTGGGTATGGCAATGAATCTTAGGTCTCAGGCTCCTCCAACAATGCGAAATAAGGATATATAAGACATACAACCATGAAACACATTTAAAAAGCAATACAAATAGTGCAAGGGTTACAAACGGAGTAGAATAAAATCCGGACTATCCACTACCAGACAGAAATTCACTCATGCTCGTAACAAGGTAACACAAACAATAAGACAGGCCTAAGCAAACTTTTTCATCAATATAATTGAAGGTGCGAAAAGGTAACAGTAAAAAAGTTTGGCAAATCTTAAATAAACTATTAGGTAAACAAACCAAACAAGAAAATTATGTACTAGAATTAAAAATCAATGATGCCCTGAAAAAAGACCCTGCAGTGTTGGCCAACTCTCTAAATGAGGATTTCATAAATAGTGCTCTGGACATCACAAAGCTCTTCCCGCCATCTGAGGTCTCACCTAGCCCGACTGTGGATACACACCCCGTTTTTGACCTGGAGGAAATCACAGAGGTTGAGGTAAACCATATCATCTTAGGGTTAAGAGGTTCTAAGGCTAGGGATGCAGATGATTTAGGCACCAACTTTATAAAAACACATATCGACGGTCTAATACAACCAATTACTATGTTAGTAAATCAATCTATCAGCACAAAGGAAGTTCCATCATCCTGGAAGGTGGCCACGGTGACACCGAACTTTAAATCTGGGGATAAGGCAATAATGTCCAATTACAGACCAATCAGCATCCTCCCCTGTGTCTCTAAGACAGCTGAGAAATGGGTGTCAAAACTAATCACCAAACATTTAGATAAAGGTTTCGCTCCACTCCACCCAATGCAGTTTGGTTTTCGTGCTCACCACTCCACTGAGACAGCTAACTGTGTCTTTGTGGAAAAGGTTAAATGTATGTTGGACACGAGCCCATATGTAGGTGCTGTCTTCCTTGATCTCAGGAAGGCTTTTGACACTGAAGTGCTCCTTATAAAGCTGACGTATTTCAATTTTTCGNNNGGACACATGTTGATGTAGAAGAGACATGAAGAAGAGGGGACACATGTTGATGTAGAAGAGACATGAAGAAGAGGGGACACATGTTGATGTAGAAGAGACATGGAGAAGAGGGGACACATGTTGATGTAGAAGAGACATGAAGAAGAGGGGACACATGTTGATGTAGAAGAGACATGAAGAAGAGGGGACACATGTTGATGTAGAAGAGACATGAAGAAGAGGGGGACACATGTTGATGTAGAAGAGACATGAAGAAGAGGGGACACATGTTGATGTAGAAGAGACATGAAGAAGAGGGGACACATGTTGATGTAGAAAATACATGAAGAAGAGGATTTTTCATATTTGGGGACCTTTTCATTTCTTCACGACAATGTCATATTTATTTATTGCAATCCCTTCCATGTAACTTAGGTTGCTGTCAGATGCCATAAAATCGATGCAACCTTTCAGAGAAATTTCTCCAGGTAAGTGAGACGAAATGTCTAAATGTATTAAAACACTTGAATGCCTCTTTAGTAACATTAGGAAACCTAAATGGATTCAAATGTTGCCTTCCCATGGTGCTTCACAGTTACTGCCTCGTCATTAAAAAGCACTTATTCTAAAGCTATGCAGAAAGAGTGCGGGGTATTAAAGGTATCGCTAAGTGTCAACGTTATTCTACAGCAACAAGTGAACTCAGCACATCAGAAAACAACGGACCTCCTGCTGTGACGATGCTGTTTGAGTGACAGGACCACTGTTGCTGGAAACCTCTGAATGATGCACAGGGGGCTGCTGGGAAATGCAGGTGTGAAAGCTTACACATCTAAAGATTTGCATTCAGAACAGTCAGGAGGTTTAACGCTCACCTGAAGGCATATTTGACTATAGCATGCTTCAAGTACACATTCTTTGTCCTAGGAAGCAATACGTTATATATGATCAGGAATATTCGCAGTCACGACTACACTTAGAGACATTGTTTTCTTCTTGATGAGGAGCTCTTAATGGGGATATTATAATGATAATGCTTTTACAATTAAAGCATACATCAAAGTGTGAGTTTGAGCTTTTGTTTAAAGATATATCTACACGTTATTATGTCATTGAGCTGATTCTAAATTGTCCATGTAAGATTTTCCCCAGGGTCTAAAACTGTTAAGTGTAATATTTTGTATGCTTAGCCACTAAAAAATACAAGGTTCATGGCTTACTATTTTGCCATGGGCGTGAAATAAAGAATGCATGGAAACTAAGCTAGAAAACAATCTTAAAGTAGAAAGCAAGCTCATATCAAACACAGGAGAGTTTGATTTCTCTTACTTATCCACAAAGAGGCGTTTGAGTGAGTGAGTGAGTGAGTGAGTGAGTGAGTGAGTGAGTGAGTGTGAGTGTGTGTGAAAAGGCCTTGATGTTGCCGCACTTTTCCATCCCCCTATCCAAGCTGGAAAACGAGTCATAAAATGTGAGAATTGTCAATCACACTTTAAACTTCAATTACCTTTAATCAGATATTTTCCTAACTTGCGCTCATAAGGCATTATAAATGCAATGTGATGATTATATAATCAGGAGATGATATAATGCACATAATGAGCTGCAAATTGCTGGGTGTTTAATATTTGATGTGGTTAATGTGTCCTTAATGACGTGATAGGAAACCTAATATCACCGATGCCAGCATGATTACAATGTTAGAAACAATTATCTCAGCTTCTAATGGGCTCAGCTGGTAATGGATCAAAATGCTAACTGTGTTATTAAAGTCATTGAAGACATCGTTCCAAGAAGTCCTATAGAAGAAAAGTAGGTAAATGAACATAAGAAGTTAAAGAACGAATTTACAATAAAAAAGTAAAATAAAAATATGTGTATAAACATAATAAGGTGATGTAAAATATCCAATAAAAGATCAAATATAATAAAACCGAATAACAATTTTTATATAAACGTAAGAAGTTCAAGTTACAATATGCAATACAATGTTGAATAGATATAAATATACAACCATAAGAGGTGTGTGTGTGTGTGTGTGTGTGTGTGTGTGTGTGTGTGTGTGTGTGTGTGTGATGACAGGAAATTAGTGTATTGACACTGATTATTCTTGGCCCCATGCTGCTCATCAGGTTCATATCAGTATGTAGTGTCTCTACTGGGACATGTCTCCATGCTTTAATGGACATGTCTCCAAAGCTCTTTATTTTTCTCATACTGCCTGTGCTGCAGCACCTCTTTTCACCCTCCGTCTGAAACCAGAGCCCAGTCTGCTCTGATTGGTTAGCTGGCCCGCTCTGTTGTGATTGGTCAACCGCTTAGAGAAGTCCTGCCCCTTAGCCTATCACGACACAACACGTACAATGTGTTGGAGCGCTAGCCAATAGAAGTGCGAGTCTAACGTAGTGACATCACTATGTTCACTATGTATGTGTTAAATGCTTTTGCTAAGTCATGTTGTTTTAAGCTTGATATCATCTCTAAAGTCAGATATTTTTCATTTTTTCTTGCCATTAAAAGTCCAAATAAATCTGGTAACATGTCTTTAAGGCTTCATTTGAAAATTGGCATCAAGTTTCCAAGGTGAGGAAACATTTTCTCCATTTCATAAGCTTTAGATAAATAGTTTATGGGCCGTGGGAGTCATGCATAATATCATATGTCCTTGGCAAGGAGGTTCAAGAGTTTCTCAGAGTTTTAATGAGAAACCTGTGCCGTTGCTGTCCTTGGTGACGGCACGATGCAACACTGATCACGTTTACTTTGACGCAGCTTGGTTACACACACAGCCGACAACAGAATATATATAGATACTTCAAGAGAGATGTGTCAGTTTCACTTGAACAGGCTTTTGTAACCATTACATCTTGTTGTAATACTTTCATCATGTAATATTGACATTACACTTCCTGCCCCCGCTTTCTCTGAAGAAACGTTTATTTTGGAAAGTGATGTTTTCTAACGCCTCAAACTACATTGTTGGAAGCAGAATACTATTTTACTCACAAAATATTACAAATAGATTTGGCTGAAACTCATTAGACAGGTGGAGATCTGTTTTTGGGATTTACGCCCAAATACTAGTATGAAATGTTGCGTTCAAATGCAGCTGGGAAATCAAGAAACCTAGGATGTTTACTAGGGAAAAGCAACCGGTGACAATGTATACATACTAAAAACTATAAATACTGTAGCTGCTTACATTTCTGTTACATTTCACCTCCAGTAAGTCGGATAAAGGACGCCACATTTTGTTTTTGTTTGCATGTCTTGAATTACATCGTGACAAAATCTTAAACACGTCAACAATTGGACGTTAAAGGTCTTTCAAGGATCCTCTCTACCACTGACGTCAATAAGTCTAGCCTCTATTGACTGAATAGCTTGTGGAAGTGAGCCGCGGCTTTTGTGAAATCAATTACACACACACACACACACACACACACACACACACACACACACACACACACACACACACACACACACACACACACACACACACACACACACACACACACACAAACCAAGTCTTCACCCTAAAATTTATGATTTGGGGTGATGATGGGGACCTCCATTTTGTCCCCATAAGGGAGGCGAGTCCCCACACGTGGCTGTGTAAACAGATTTAGGTCCCCACAAGTATAGTAATGCTAGGACACACACACACACACACACACACACGTCCTTACCACATTAAAGTCGAGATTCTTCTCCACCCAGTCCGTAGCAGCGTCAAACTCTTCAAACATCTCCATGATGTAGAGAGTATCCAGAGCATCCACTATTGTCGCTCCCTTTATACTTCCTGCAAGAGAATGAGGTATGAAGATTAGAAATAAATATCTCAATACACATTAGTGAAGGTTGTTGCGTCTTAAATAAAAAGGTTTACATATCGTCTCTTCGCTAAAAATACAAGGAAAAAAGCTGGTCTTAAAGTGACGTTTTTTTAAGACCAGCTTTTTTCCTATTATTTTTAGCGAATGACAACAGGTGTTAGCAGCAGTCTCATTAAGTAAAAAAACTGCAGCAATTCAGAGATTTCTGAAGGTGGAATAAATTATTTAACTAGACAGATGGCGAGAGGCAGTGATTATTGGCACTCATGAAACATCGAGAGTATTGCGATTCTCTAGATATTAGCCTCATAGCAGGAGAGAAGACAGATAGAAACATCATTCCAGCACTGTCTGCCATTAATAACAAAAACCTTAACAAATCCAACAACACCGCAACACCTCAGTCTGTGTATGTGCCGGGAAGCTGGATAAATCATTTAGCATGCAGCACGAGCGCTCAGGAAAGCTTTCATTCCTAACATACACAAGATTTCCGAGCTATCTGACCACTTAGAGGTGAGACAGGAAAGCCAACAACACATTTTAATGGAAGATGGGGTGGTGAAGAAAGAGGAACAAGAATGAGTTGGAAAAAAATGAGAAATGAAAACATTACAAGCTAAGAATGACAAAGATAAAAAAAGAGTAAAGTATAAGAATGAAGTGTAGAGATAAGATGTAAGCCAGGCAGCTGCAGGGTTGGTATTGTTTAAGGTGTGGGTTTATCTCCCCCTGTGGGAGGAAGCGAAGGCAGCTAAAAGCTTTCCATTAGACACAATGCTGAGTCATCATCTGCTCAGAGACACTGCTGCCCATCACTCGGGTTTTAAAAAACTGTTGGATGACTAATCTGTTTTCATTTGTGAAGCAGATTTTGGTTACAAAGCAATAGATGCATAAATTCCCTGGATATAAATGGTGTTTAGCCCAAAAAGAAAACCTGGATATTAAATGGAATTTTCAAGAGAAGATTTGTCTGTTTTTGTGGCAGATACATAGCTAGATGCGGTCATCTTTATACACGGGAAAAAGACTGAAATAATCTCATTTTGGACAAGGTTCAACACTGGCTGAACAACATTTGCTTACAGTTAAACGTAAAAAAAACAGTATGCATGATGTTCAGTAAACCACCAGTCAACATCGAAGGATCCAACGTGTTTTTAAACGGAGCAGAAATAGAGCTAGTCTCCCACTTCAAGTATCTTGGAGTCATACTGGACTCGAACTTGACTTTTAAGAAACATATTAAGAAAGTATCCAACACTATTAAATTCAACTTGCAACATGTTAAATAAATTAGCCCTTTTTTAACTGTCAATGCTTCAAAGTCATACCTCCACTGTATGATTCTATAACCACATTGAATACCGTTTCACAAACTGGTCGTTTGCTTGTGCCACAAACCTGAAACCCATAGAACAGCTGTTCAAGAGAGCTATCAAGGTGTTTGACAGAAAGCCACATTCATACCACCACCGTACCATCCTGGAAAAACACACTTTCTTGAGTTTTGACCATTTTAAGTCTTTTAAAAGTATGTGTTTTATTTATAAATGTTTACATGGACTGCCCCCCCCCCCATCCTTCCTTAGGGGAATTCATCCACAAAAAACACACTGGATGCTGCACTAGGTAAGAAACCAGAGGAGACTTTGAAGTCCACTGCAGACGGACCACTTTTGGACAAAATGTCCTCTCCATTAAAGGCAGCTCATTGTGGAATAGCCTCCCAACTGAGACACGGGATTGTCCCGCTCTCAATAGCTTCAAAGGTCAACTCAAAGAATGGTTGAGAAACAAACATCTGTGCAATCACCGCTAAATGCACTTTAACACAGGGGTATCTCCTCTTGCACTTTAGGTAGCTCTTGTATCTCCTCTTGCGCTTTATGTCGTTGCTGCTATATTGTATTACCGTGTCATAAATACTTCTTTCTTGCACCTTTTGATGATAATGTATTTTGTTTTTGCTATGTTTGTAAAATGTAATTTTCTTAAATGTTTTATGTGAGGGACTGCGGATGGAAATTAGCTCAAAGCTAAATCTGGCATATTTACGCTTGATACATTTTAATGTTTTAAGTGTTCATTACTGTGCATTGTCCCTGCCAAATAAACGATTAAATAAATCAAAAATTACTATTTAAATGTCAAAAGAAAATAAATACAAGAGGCTAAATGTTGAGAGAATGTAGTAAGTGATAAAGTAATGCAGAATTCTATATACATGTTAATCGAATAAGATTAAAGAATACAAATTCAATAAAAATGTTATACTTTACAGTGAAGGGAAAAACTGCAAACAGATGATTGCTATGGATGTGGAAAGGAGCATGAAGATGATTGGGTTAAAAAAAGGAGGATATCACGGAGAATAGAAGTAAAGAATGATATGGATAAAAAAAATACAACTTGGCTCTCGGAGAATTGAACAGAGGAGATGAAGGAGAAAAGGGGGAGGAGTCGGAGTGGAGAAAAGTAACACGGACAGAGTTCAAAATAAAGATTCTCCTATCAACATGTTGTCAGCTGTATTGACTTATTGAAAGAAAATGTGTTCCTATAATCAACACCCAAAAGGATACAAATGTAAAGTAAAAGGAGAGGTTGTTCCTCTTTTGGTCCACAGGGGGCGCTGTGTCTGTTCAGTTTGATGTGAACTCCCTCTTCATAACACCAACTGTTTCTTCTCATGTTTCCTTTGTGGTTGCAGAGGTTTCCTGGTCTCCAATCCCTCTTCAATCATCACTAGTGTGTGCATGTACACTGACACACACACACATTATGTCCAGGTGCTGACATACTCTGTATCTTTAAACAGAGACAGCTTTTTACCCCCACTACGCACACACCTGCTCTCACACACACATCAAGAGGCGTAGGCTAACACCCACAGCAACAGATAGAAGCTACTGTATGGTCAGTGTAAATCCTGTCGCCCATAAGCAGGGTTTGAGTCACCGCCAAACAAGTCTAAATCCATAGCAGGAGCTGAGCACCGTGGCAACGCAACTGTGCGAACAGAGCAATGTTGAAAGAAGGCGTGACAGCTTTGCATTGTGTAATTAACATTGAGAATTGTTAATTGGTTTTGTTTAAAGTAGTGTTCTAAAATACTTCAAGAGAATGTTATGCTACTAATCTGACGGTTTTAGGAGCAATTATTAACCTAATATATAACAGATTTATGTATTTATCACAATTGTCTATAGTGCATGTATCCCTGAGACATAAACATGAGTATATCTGTTTGGATTATCTTTGTTTTCACAATCAAGTGTTGTATGGCAGTATTTAAAGCCTAGAAGATTGTGATTTTGGTCTATATTAATAAAAACTATATTATTATTATTTATCATTATTCTTGTTATAACTATTGTATTATCATTTTTATACAATTATTATTGTTATAAACTGACAAATTAATTGATTTACGTTTAAATCATCTTATTTAGAAATAAAAAAATATTTTACAATTACATTTCTGTCTGCTAATGAAGACCATCCTGTATAATTGAAAGGCCATGGATCAGCTACTAATGTATATACGGACTGTGAGGTGAAATGGTTTTTATCAACAACTGTTTCCAAAGTCAATCATTAACATCAATGACTTTAAGGAGTTATTGTCCAAGTTGGCTTCAAAGTTGAGCTTCAGAGAACATTTACATTTCACCACCTATATTTGAATGACCGCTGTAAAAGTCTATATGCTGATGCAGATGGTGACAGAAAGCGGCCATCCATAGCTTCCTTCCCTCTGTATTGTGCAGTGTGTGTAGGATTACCTGCAGCTTGGCGTTCTGAGTCTGCAGTGACGTGTTGTTCTCCTGGAGAGACGCAGTCTGCCTCTGCACCGCCACTATCTGAGCCTGCAGGTTGGAGCTCTGAGTCTCCAGTTGTTTGAGCTGGCTCCTCAGCGCCGCCTTCTCAGCCTGCAGCGTGGCATTCTGGGAAAAAAAAAAGATGACAGATATACATAAAGACACTCAGAGGGAACTGCACAATCCAAAAGGTATATGTTTTTTTATTCATATCGGCATTCCTGATGTGTGCTAACTTACGTTCCTCTCCACCTCAATGAGTCGGTCTTTGACTTTCAGCAGCTCTCTGGTGGTTTCATGACTCTCTTTCTCCCATTTACTGACAGCCTGAGGGGCTTCCCCTCCTCTCGGGGGGGAGCTCTGCACCATCCTCTCCTCCTCCTCCCTCTGACGCAGCGCCTCGTAGTTTTTCTTTACCTGAAAGTAGAGGCATAGGAGTAAACATTTAACTTTTTTGTGCCCATTCAGTACAATATAATATAATTCCAAGATGGCTAATATTTAAATACTGCTACTGGGTTGAATGTGAAGTTAATAAACGATAAAAACAGACATGAGTAATGGTTATGTACAAAGCAGACGGGATCCTGTATAGTGTCACAGCTGAAACTCAGATTTGATCTACAGAAGCTTAAACTTTTCCCTACAAGCTTTTGGATTTGAATCTGTTTTGTGTCTGCAAGTTCAAAACACAAATGCCTCCTTAAAGGACAGCAGACATCCTCCACTCCTCTCCTGCCGCCTCATGAATAGATAAACTGGCGATAGAAGTGGAAAAGTGGATGAATAAATAATGTGTCGGCCTTCATAAGCCCTCAGTGTTTTTAGTGCTTTGGACTGCGGGGGAAAGATTTTAGGACACGTTGTTCCAAAGTGGACGGGCTGGAGGATTGATGACGTTTGGCTTCCTGAACTTTTGAAAGAACATCCATAACATTCATCTGCTGCAACTTATATATATATATATATAATCCAATTACTTGTATATAGACTATTCTGCACTGTTTCTATTTTATTTATGTACTTGCACTATTTAATCTGTTTTATTGTGTTGCACTGTTGGAGGAGCCTGTGAACTAAGATGTCCATTGTCATAACTACACTGTAGCTACTGTATGTACACATGCCAATAAAAGCCTTGAATCTTTGTTGGATGTATGCGTTTAAATACTGGGTCTTGTTTATTGTGATTAAAATAAATATCTGTGTTCAATACGTCATAAATCCTGTATGTGTGTGTATGCTTTCTTTGATTAAGAGTATGGATGTGTGAGCTGACCGTCTTGAGCTCCTGGCGTAGCTGCTGGTTGAGGTTGGAGGACTCCTGCAGTCTGGCCTCTAGCGCTGCGATCTTCTCCTCTTTAATCTCCAGAGATGATTTCAGTGTCGACTCCAGTTTTGTTTCCAGGAGCCTAAACCTGAAATTAAATAAGGAGGTTAGCAGTGTGAGTGTGAGTGTGAGTGTGTGTGTGTGTGTGTGTGTGTGTGTATAGTCTAGAGTGTGATCACACATTTGTAATCCTGAACACAGATCATGTTTTATCGTCACAGCCACGGTAAAGCAACGCCAAGACTTCCTGGCAACAGTGTACTGTAGGTCGGCGGTTAGGAGATATTGACCCAGAAAACTCCCACAGGATGATTCTGCAATAGACTCAAATTAAGTAAAGATTTCGACTCCTGATATTAATTGGGCCATAGGGCTCTTATATTTGGGCTGTATCGTTTACTTTGAATCATTCTGATCCGAAAATGATTTACTCAATGTTCAAAAATACATATATAAATGTTCAATATATATAAAATAATGTATTGTATTACATTATTGCCTCTGCATTGGATTATTACCGGATAAGGTAATAATAACTTCATGATTAACTACGACTGAAAGCAGAAGTCTAGGGCAAATAATTGCAAGTCTCTCCAGCGAGAACGTCACAAAATGATTTAAAAAGAAAAGCCAAATTCTGGAAAAAAAGTCACAATAAAAATAAATAAGTGACATTTTGAAAAAAAAAGTCAAATTATGAGAAAAAAGTCAAATTTGAGATGCATTGTGCTCCATGTAGGGGCAACGTGCCTCTGTAAATCGCCATGTAACCGTATAATAAACATATATATATTCTTTGCAAGCTCTTGTGGGGCCACATAAAATGAAGTCGTGGGCCGGATTTGGCCCCTGGGCCTTGAACAAGAGCTTGCAAAGAATATATATATGTTTATTATACGGTTACATGGCGNGTCATTTCTGGTATGATGGACATTCCCTTTCCGGTTTGATTCTCTAGTTTGTTAAAGTGTTTCGGCAAATGTTAAAGTTTTTCGGGAAATGTTAAAGTGTTTGGAGAAATGTTAAATTGTTTGGAGACTTGTAAATTTGTCTCAGTTCTTGTAAAAGTGTTTCCCTAATGTAATTTTGTTTTTATAAAAAGCAATTTTGTTTTATAACATGTAAATGTGTCTCTAGCTTTATAAAGTCTTTTGCATCTTGTTAATTTGTTTTAGTTAATGTTAAATAGTTTTTTCTTTGGTAAAAGTGTTTCACTAATGTAAATTTGTTTTATAAAATGTACATTTGTTTTATAAAATTCACATTTCTTCTCAAGCTTTGTTGAAGCGTTTCACAGTTTGTAAATGTCGTTTGCACTTCTCAGCCACCGTACATTTGATATGGTTAATGCTAAAGCTTAGTGAACCACAGTACCTAGCAGAAAAGCATCAAATGAAATGTGTCTTTCACTTTTTGTTTCTTCATAAATTGTAACAACTTGAGGTAAAATACCATCAGAGGATGGCATTGCTGTATTAGCTAATGTATTAGACACTGTCTTTAAGAAGTGTTCTCTCTGCTCACACGATACATATTACTAGGTGAGATGGAGAATACCAATATACATTTATACGTCCACTGCACTGACGTTGTAGTTCATGTATGAGCTGTTGGAGATGTAGATTGATATGACACAATTAAAGTCCAGAGATATATCTACATGTTTAAATTGGCTTCAGGAATGTTTCCCTTAACCTCGGCAGGAGTGATTAAGAACTTTCTGAGGAACTAGAAACGGATATGGTTTTATTTCAGGGTTGTTTAATGGAAAACCTTGCATAAAACTTTAAATTCTATAATTGTGGTTCGAATGTGACAGCGTTTTCTCTGCCATGCAGAATCTCTGCTCTGTTTTTCTAAAGTGAGTCGGAGCCTTGATGATCTGGGATCTCTAATTAGCTCCCCTTGGTCTCCAACTCATAATGGCCAGAGGTTATCAAAGAAAATATTCTGACAAATGTGTGTGTTTTACATTTTTGTCATGAAACAAAAGCCAGAACTACTCCAGCTTGGAATTAAACAGTTCTGAGGCATTGAACCACATCATGGGGAGTACAAAGTCTCGTTGTTCTGACCATTAAAATGTATGAAATATGTAGGAGTACCAATGTTGAAGTGGCTAGTAGACTTATTCTCCTTTTAGGATCTGGGCTCTATATCTTGTTCCACAGACATTTTGGGTTGAACCCCCCTCAGATAAACCCTATCCTGATGGGGAAACACAGCAGCTGATTGGTTCATTGCGGGCAGTGAAGCGCAGAGCCGTAATTCAACAAAGAGTTTCATTGCCTATTCTGCTCACAGTTTATAGGATCTTTTCAATTAGTATGGTCACTGCCGTAAACAGACCAGTTGCTCTGTGTCTTGTCAGCTTTATGCATCACTGCCTCGTTACAATTAGAAAAAAATGCACTTTAAAGGCCCGGACGCTAAAACACAGGCAGTCATAGAGAGAGTCTGGGAACAGCTGAGACGAGGAGAGAATACTGAGAAATGAACATCTCTCCTATAACAGCTGATAATGATGAACTCTTGAAGGACCAGTCTGATTCTAATGTTCTGACAAACAACAATGTCCAGATCAAACTAACTCCTCTGTGCCACAGAGCTATTGTTGTTCAGAAATTAAAACAGCCACACTGGGTAACATGTTGCTTCATTACCATAAACACACACTGTAGTTTATTTTAACTCAATCCATCACAATGTCCTGCTGCCACAAGTATACTAGAGCACTAAATGTGGAGTTATCCACTGCTGATTGTTTGATAAAAACTACAAGACCAGCTGTGTCAGCAAATGAAAACGCCTTAATGTATTCTTTAAGATAAAGTGTACATATTGACTACAAACCGTATTTGTGACACTTTTTTAAATTATTTTTTTGTTTCCCTGTTAGGGGTTGAGTCAAAACAACATCCTTTGTAGGAAACATCGACACTATCCATATTATAAAAACAAAAACACAAATACAATTATTGTTCAGTCGATCCAATGGCCTGGGATAGGGAAAGTAAAAAGTTGAAGAAATAGTTCAAAGATTTTGATTTTGGTCTCACAATTATGATCGTTAAAATTCTCATAGATGCATTTTGTAACAATGAATGTTTTTAACTAACACATCAAATTCAGATACTGATTAATGGAGTTTTATGGTTTAACTGTGATATTTGTTTTCTTAGATGATTCTCTTTTTGTTCATAAACCTAAGAAATCAGCTTACTATGTAGAAAAATCCAAGTGTCATGTTTGTTATCTCCTTCATTAAATGCTTAAATTGCAGGTACAACACATATTTCAGACTTATTAACAAAGTGTGATTTATGTTCACTTTAACCAGTCTACCGGCAGCATTAATGAAAATAACCAATATTTACTGTAATAAATCTTTCTCTCTCTTTGTGTTGTTGTGATCGCAACATGCAGACAAGGGTTTTTCCCCTGAAGAAATAAAATATACCTTTAATTATGCACAAAGATAAGAGTATAGGGGAAACACTGTGTTTTTACCTTTTACCTTTCGGCTGAGAAAAGCTTATGTGAAATTATCTGTCTGACTAGAGCTAATTTTATGAAACTGCAGATGGCTTTTTCTTGCAATTTCTCATCGTTTAAATGTGGGGCACATTATTTTAAGTATGCGCACAGCACATTTTAACATTTATTGTCTGAAGGGAGATTCATCATGCAGGGCGAGCCAAGAAACCCATGCACAGAATACGTTCACAGGTTTACTACCTTCATAGTAAAAAATGACAAGTGAAGTCAGAAACTGATACTCAGCACGAGCAGCTTATAAAACCCTCTTCATATGAGTTTATAACAACAGTCCTGTCATCTGCTGCTGCAGAGACGGCGTATGGCAGAGGTTTTAATGACAGGAACAAAAACAAAAAACCCTGCAGGTGATACAATGTTTTACAGGAATATCCTTGATGCTTTATGTCCTGTAAACATCTTGCCGGTGCCATGGTGTTAAAAGCCCTGTTAGTAATGACACCTCGCAATTAATTGGCTGATGATGAGGCTAGTTATGATGTAATCTTTCTCGCTCTCTCTCCCCTGCACACAGCCAGCCCCCTCCCCTCCCTTCTCCCTCTCTCTCTCTCCCGTATCCCCACCTCTTTTCTCTGTCTTTCTCTCCTATCCTAACCAACATGGCCGCTAAGTCGGATGGAGCAGCGGTGTCTGTGGAAGATGACAACACGCCCAGGAGCCTTTCGGAGCCGGGGATCCCCGCCGCCCGGCCCCGCTGCAGCGCCTTGGGCGGGAAGCCGTACACGGTGCTGGACTGCTGCTGGGTGCTCTGCGCGCTGCTCGTCTTTTTCTCCGACGGCGCGACCGACCTGTGGCTGGCCGCCGACTACTACCTGAGAGGTGACTACTGGTGGTTCGGCTTGACGCTCGTCTTCGTCGTGGTGCCTTCCGCTGTGGTCCAGGTATTGAGTTTCAGGTGGTTCCTGTATGACTACTCGGATCTGAGCTGCGGGGATGGAGCGGCGAGCGGTAACGGGAGCGGCGCGGCCACGGCGAACGACACTTTGAGCACCAAGGACAGCGACCAGCGCGGCGGTAGCGCGGCAGCGGGGAACGCGGCGAATGCTACCCCGGTTTATACAGCCTCTGCCCCGCCTGCGACGGCAGGAAGAGTCGGGGGCCCCCGGAGGTGCTGCATCGTCTGCATGTGGGTCTTTCAAACCGTGCTTCACATCCTGCAGCTGGGTCAAGTCTGGAGGTAGGACCGCTGGGGTACTGTGGGGAACAAGAGGGGTGTGTGTGTGTGTGTGTGTGTGTGTGTGTGTGTGTGTGTGTGTGTGTGTGTGTGTGTGTGTGTGTGTGTGTGTGTGTATACGTGCTGGTGTGTTTAATGTGCACATGTGAGCATTGTCTTCCAAGCTGGATAGTGGGATGTGTGTGTGTACGTGCTCGCTACATGTGTGTGCACGGCGATGTCCTTTTATGTGCAATGTGCATGTGTGTGCTGATCCCCCAAAATATTACCTGTCCTACTGGTGACAGAAATGTGCAGAAATCGATCGGGACAGAGTGAGAGTATTTTGCCACAATGCTGAATTCGTTTTATTCACACATCACTTACAACAGTGATAGTAAAAATATGAATTCCTCTCCCATGAGGCGTTTTGTCCATCTGCCCTTCTCGTCCTGGCTGTGACAGATTCTGTTCTGAGGTCTGACACACAGTTCTTCCCGTGGCTCCTCTCTCTCTGTCCGGACATGCTGACAGGAATATTAGCTCTGTGCTCCTCTTCTCCTCATCTGGCTGCTTGTCATGTTCTTGAAACTGAATATTTTCTTCCTCCACACGCAGGCAGATTGATCTTATGTAAAATGAGAGCATCCACGGGCAAAATCTTTAAAGCAGCATTCCTCCCACAACACATCCAAACTGATATCCTATCCTGTGCTTTAAACTATCCATCCCCCCATTGTAAGGTTTTTTTTCTTTAATTGTAATTGCTTAAGAGCCGGGTTTACTTGATTGTGAGTCAACTTCAAACATTGTGAAACATTAATGACATCACCAGGTTGTCAGTTTAACCCGCATGTTATACGCATGAAACCACACATGCATATTAAACAAATGAAATGAAAATATCCATTATAAGCATACAATGACAGAAATAGCAACTGTAACTTGTACTAAAAAGATAAAATGACGTTAACCATAATGACCAGAGTAAAGTATTATGAGCAGCAGCCGGGCTGTTAGTCAAATTCACTTAAGTTAAAGTCTGAGCAGTTTCTGAAATCATTCTCGACTGAGACCAAATGTTCATAGTTAACGGTTCAGTCCTTTGGTGTATTATGTAATAGTGTTGGTTAAGGAAACAGAAAATACTTAATTTGCTTAAATGTCTTAATAGCAACTCTCAAAATGGTATTATACATATAAAGAACGAATTATTGATTATTTTACTTCTCTACATTTATTTGGGTTATACAAGTTTTCACTTTAACAGGTAAGATACAAACATGTGATAGGTTCAGGTTGTCCATGGGAACATTCGGTTTGCAGTTCAAGTTAACGGATCCCTTATGACACAAGTTTTAAAACAACACAGACAACAGGCACATCTTTGAAAAGAGTACCCCATGCATGCGCCATCACATTTGAAACCCCACGAGTACAAACATGAAAGAACCAATCACTTAAATAAAAAGGCGGCGCTTCCAAAGCAGCTATGTGACGCCGCTACAACACAAGCTCCTGAAATACAATGAAATGATAAAGATTAAACCAGTAGCTCCAAACATGTTTGGCTATAGACACCTTACAAAAAAAGCAGAGACAATGCAGTTTAATTTTCTGAAGAACAAGTACTTTAACTTACTGAAAAAGCCCATGAGTCCAGAACAGACTTGAGTAACACCGTATTACTTTACAAGATTCACGAACAACAATGCAACCCTCTGCAGTACATAAAAAAAACCCACCCAAGTAGTCACCAGCTAGTTTTAAATCAATGTGCAGCGTGAGTAGGGATTTTCTTTTTTATTGAATATGATATTTTCCAGCAGCAGTTCAGCAGGAAGCTTTTATTTTCTGCTTGTTTGTGCCCTCCTTCCCTTTTATATCTTCTCCCTTCCTATTTTCTTTATATTTTTGCAGTAAAATTAAGTACTTCACCTCTGTCCCCCATGTTTTGTCTAATTGTTAGCAGCATGAAAGCTAACATTTCAAACTCAAAGGAGCTTGATTCTACTCATTGTCAGGTTCATATTTGTATATAGTGCCTCTACTGTGACATGTTTCCATGTTTTAATGTTCAAAAAGCTCCTTAGCCAATGTACAATATGCAAGTGTTACATAGTGAGGTCACTATGTTACAGAAGTAAACAAAGGAGTCCATGGAGGCATTCGAGGGGGGAGGGTGGGAGAGAAACTCCTTCTGGAGGGAACTTTGGGATTTTAGCATTTGCAAACCATTAATGCACAAAAACCTATATAACACACAGGAAAGCGAAAACCCCCAAAAGCACAATAGGGTGGTTTTTAAACATTGACCATTACATGATCCATTTATCCTGAGTTGGTGTATTTAAGGCACCATATTGTAATCAAGTTTTTAATGATGACCCTTTGTAACCACACCATGATGGGACAAAAACACTGTTTACAAAATGAAGAGGGCAAGCTGTCGGTGCCTTTTGAACCGGACTTGTTGTTTTAAGCTCCTTTAACAGAGGGGTTAAAAGTCAAACTCAGTGGAGCAAATCAAGAATAAATGCCCTCCTTAAAAACATCTAAAAAAAAAAAGCGGGATTGAAGAGATAAAACACCTCTTGTTATGTTTGTAGTGATTTGAACCCTTCAGAGAATTGAAATCGTTTCTCAGGGAGAGTAGACGGGCGTCCTTGAGCCCTTTTGCTCCGGGCTGCATCCTGTCTCCTGACCTCTCTGTGAAGGCAGAAGAAGCCAGAAAAACTAAATATTTTACAAGATGTTACATCAACTGATTCAAAAATAGAGCATTTGGGAATTTGCACGAGTATAATTACATGCAGACTCGTTAATGATCTGCATTAATGAACAACAATAAGATGCCGAGAGCCAGAGAATGAGAATGAGTTTGTTTTAATGTTGAAAGCCGGGAGAGTTGGACAGAGTTTGGTTTGACTGGGATTTGAGACTCTGGTTTTACATTTACTGAGTTCAGATGTACTCAGCACCTGTGGAAATGCTTTAGAGTTTCACCTGCAGCCGAACATCCCCATCGCAGATTGTTGTGTCCTCCTTTGTGATTCAAATCCAATGTTATTAAACATCGCAAACAAAGTATAAGGTCTCATTTCACATCTGGACCACATGACTTCTTCAACAAGTCAAATCTCACAGTTTGAATCGTATAGGTCAAATGCATTTGAATAGTTATACCATAGCTATATGTTAGCTCGGTCAATCCCCTATAAGATAACATTATTACTGTACATCCTAGCTGCTTGGGAAATACAGAAAAGAGACAAATGCTAATACAAAACGAAAAATTGTGAAAAGAAAGTTAACCTGTCTGGCATTTGATGTACGTTTCTTTGTTATCACACTTATAAATAGTTACATTGGATTAGGGTTTGGTGTAGTCAAATATCAGGTTGTTAATTGCATTTGTTTATTTAAAACATACAAGAGATCTAAGTATTTCGATGCCCACAATCCCATCATGTGTATTTCTCTGACAAACTACCTTTTGTCAATGTCAATAATAATGATTCTCTTTCAGTAGCACAGATGTTTGCATTGTTAAGCTGTTGGAGACGCACACATAGTCTAGGGAGAGGACTGGGATGGATGGTTGGTTGCACAGCGTGTCTGACTACAATCATCACCAACCAAGTGAAGTCTAAACCTCAAAAGAGATTTAGATAGAAAATCTGAAAATACTCACATAAATAGATTTTTGACTAAGAGTCTTAAGAAGGTACTCACAAAAGTCCTATTTTGTCAAACGTATGTGAACCCCTGAAGATTACACCCTTTTGTATTTTCGGCTCTCCACATGATTTAGTAAACTGACTGCAAGGATTTGCTGCCATTGAGCCTCAAGAGCAATAGTGAGGTTCAGTGCTGATGTTCTGAGATAAGGGCGGCTCTCAGTCAGACTTCCAGTTCATCCCAAAGGTGGAGGATGGAGCTGATCTCTGCGATCTGTGCAAGCAAGGCATTTCTTATGGGCTCTGTAGTGCACCAGGCACAGTGATGCTGGAACAGGAAACTACCCCAAACTGTTGTCCTCAAGTTGAAAGCACACTGTTGACGGTAATGTCATTGGATGCTGCACATTGCACTCAATTATCTAAAAGTCTGCCAGCTTCTCCTATATTGTTTCCTAAAATGTCCAATGATTGGATACAATTAAAGTTTTGAGGATATTACTTTGGGCATTTTTGAATTGTGCTATTAAAATATAAAACTATTAATTTAGATAATCATTGTAAGTAAAAGTAAAAGTACATTCTAGTTGCATCCTTATAAAAGTAAAATGTTGTTTTCCTGGCAAAGTATACGTTAGAGATGATGTTATATGTATGTATGAACACTGACCTTGTGGGCTTGGATTTGGCCACATCTTCGGATTAAGATTGTTATAGAAATGTTAAAACACGGAAATTATAATAGTTTTTATCAGAGGTTTCAGCGTA